CCACACAAGGAACCTATGGTGCTAATTATTATGGTATAATCAATAAGGGCATCTTTTGCGTGGCACATTAAAATTTGTATTACCAATTTGACCAATTTTGTCCATCCATTTGATTTGACCGCTAATATACATATATATAATAAATTTAAAAAAGTTCATAGTTTAGTGATTTTATTTTTTTATAGATGCTAATGAAAATTTAATCCACTTTCACAAATAATTTAAAAAATTTCTAAAGTAAGAAAGTATTATTTATTTATTTATTTATAAACAATAAAAAATTAATAAATTATGAAAATAAAAAACAAGCTGGAATTATCTCACTGTTTTTTTTTTTTTCAAGTCCTAAGAAAGTCATATCAATATATACATGTAATTTAGTATGGTTCTCAAATTTTTTACATATATAATTCCTAAAATTAGCTTATTTTAATCTTGGTTAGCTATTAAGCATTCCACCATACATATATTTTAAAAATACTAAAGATGAACATATAAATTTATATGATATTCATAGGCCCCCTCCCCCTCCCTCCCTCCCCCCCCCCCCCCCAAAAAAAAAAAAACAAAACAAAAAAAAAGATTGTTTCCAATCATTTTATATTTTTTTTGTAATATTTAATATTTAATAAAAATTTAAAATGCTTCTTGGTCTCAAAGTTTTTTTTTAAATAGATTTTTTTTATTAATATATATAAAAATTTTCAACTTGTTATGAAATAATGAATGTCCATGTGAATGTTCATTTATTTTTCATATCCCCACTACTCATAATTCTTAATGTAAGATTGTTTCAAATCATTTTATATTTTTGTAATATTTAATATTTAAGAAAAAAAATTTAAAATGCTTCTTGATCTCAAAGTTTTTTTTTTTTTAAGTAGATTTTTTTGTTAATATATATAAAAATTTTCAACTTGTTGTGAAATAATGAATGTCCATGTGAATGTTCATCTATTTTTCATATCCCCACTCCTCATAATTCTTAATGTGATTCAATTCATCATTTAACATGAGAAATTGAAAGAGTGATGCAATTGATGTACTTTTAATTATTTATGTTTCCTTTCAATTCTCTTCTCAATTTTAAAGCCTATAAATAGGCTTGATTTTTCATTAGTTGAGGTATAAGTTTTATAGAGAGAATAGGGAAAACTTTGAAGTTCTTATCACTTGTATTCACATTATAGTGATTTCATTTTCTTGTCATCATTTTCTTAAATTCTTATATTATTTTTATTTATTTTATAACATGTTATCAGCACGAAGCTCTAACCAATTGAGACAATAGACCATGAGGTATGTATCTATTAAAAGACTTAATCAATTGTTTCAACCGTTGAATTTCTTCTACAAAGATGGTAGTTTGAGAAGAAAATTTGCATGATCCCTCAAATTTACATCATATGAAAGCATGATAATGTATATACGTAGTGCTCCTCTATAACAAAATAAAATAGACACTTAAAGGAGATTGAAAATATATATTGGATTTTAATCCTTTTCGATAATTCAAGCTCTTGATTCATGAATAAGAGGTATTTTTACAGCTCGATTTATCAATTGTCATTTTGATGAAATAATTTTTCCAACATTCGAGAGGAGAGAATAAGCAAAAGAAGCGAGTTGGAAATATTGAAGAAAAAAAAGATTACATGGATTACTTTATCTTTATATTATATGGAATCTCGTACAAAATAATATGAACTAGAAGTTCAAAAGATAATTCATTTACAAGGTATTACAAACCAACTCGCTAAATACATTATCGGATCCTAAATGAGTAACTAAAATGCATGTCCTTGCCGAGAATGCTTCTATTAGAATTGATATCCTAGAATGACGATCTATTAATGTTATAACCGATGAATCTAAAGCATGCTTGAAGCGTGAAAGACCGACCAGGTTCTAAAGATAAAAATCTCCAAAAGAAAAAGACAAGATGAAAATATAAAAGATGTAAATATTTACAAAACGATCCAAGATAAATATGACAATAGGCTTAGAAGAAGTCCGGATTCTTGAGAAAAATTAACGAGACTTTGATAAATTATGTCAATATAGGGATAAAATAATGATAAAAAAGAAATATTTTTTTTTGTATATAATGTTTCAATTGATATCTTGAATAAAAATAAGGATCTTGACCTTAAATTTATTGAAGAATGTTGACATAAAGATGATTGGCGTAAATGAAAAGAGCAATTCGAGCATAATTATATTTTTTTACAAATGAGTAGTTTTTGAACCTATAGTCAAAATACATGAAGATGTTAAGCAAATAGAATACAAATGTGTATTTATACAAATACGAAATAAGAAAGATGAGATTGTAAGATACAAAGCAAAACTTTTAACATAAAAATGTTTACAAAGAATCGACATTGACTATGAAGAAATATATTCTCCTATAATTGATGTAATTATATTTTGTTATCTTATTAGCATGGTAAAATATATGAAAAATATTCATATGCATGCATTTAATGAATGTGATCATAGTTTATTTGTTCATTTGAAATGATATCGGTATAAAAGTCCTAGAAGGTCTTAACATGCCAAAAGTATGTAATACATATTATTGAGAAAAGAATTCAACTAAATTATAGAGATCTCTATTAGGATTATTTTAGTATTTTTTTTATTATTTTAGTTTTTAGAAATTCAATTTATATTATACTTTTTTATAATTTATTTTTATATCTATCGTTTATTATTAAACTGTGTATATGTGATATACTCACTTCAATGATTATTTATTGAAAGAAAGTTATAAAAAAATTAACCCTATTTAGTCATATATTTTTATTTGAAAAGGGGTTTGTTGTATATGTTGATGACTTAAATATTATTGAAACTTCGAAGAGATTCCAAGTGTCATAAGTTATCTAAAAAGAGAATTTGATGTGAATACCCCTAGGGAAAAAAATGTTATCTCGACTTGCAGTTCGAGCACTCGGAGAATGAGACTTTTATTCATTAGTCAACTTGTATAGAAAAAAGTTCTATAATGATTCTATATAAAGATCATTCATTGACTAGCCCAATGGTAGTTCATTCACTTGATATCCAAAAAGACCTTTTTCGACCTCGAAAAGATAATGAAGAACTATTTGGTCCCGAAGTATCGTACTTTAGTGCCACTAATGCATTGATATATCTTGTTAATAATACTTGACATGATATAATTTTTTTTATAAATTTATTAGCAAGACATAGTTTTGCTTCAATACGAAGATATTAAAATAAAGTTAAACATATACTATGTTATCTTTAATGAACAATTGATATGAGCTTGTATTACTCCAATAAATCAAAGACATGATTGATTGATTATGCGGATGCGGAGTTATTTATTTGGTCAACACAAAGCTCGATCACAATTGGTTATATATTTACATATGGAGATACGACTATATCTTGGCATTCCATAAAGCAAATTATAGTTGTCACATCTTCAAATTATGCGAAATGCTAACAATTCATAAGACAAGTTGATAATGTATTTGGTTAAGATGACTCATCATATTCGAGAGATATACGATTTATCCACTAGTAAGAAAGTTTCAACAATCTTGTATGAAGATAACATTGCTTGCATAGATCAATTAAAGGAATGATACATCAAAGGTGACGAACGAAACATATATCACCAAAATTATTTTTCACACTCGATCTTCAACGAAATGGTGATATTAATGTCCATCAAATTTGATCAAGTGACAATCCAATAGATTTGTTCACTAAGGCATTACCTACTATAAATTTTGAGAAGATAATTTATAAGATTGGAATGTGTCGTCTTATAAATCTTAAATAATATTTTCAACATAGGGAGACCAATATGAGGATTAATGTGTATAAGAAATGCTGTATTTTTTTCATTCACTAAGATTTTTTCCCACTAGGTTTTTTTTCTAGTAAGGTTTTAACGAGACATGTTCTTTGTATAATAGACATTCAAGGAGCAATGTTATGAAATAATAAATGTTTATCTATTTTTCATATCCCTGCTACTCATAATTCTTAACGTGATTCAATTCATCATTCAATATGAGAAACTAAAAAGGTGATGTAATTGATGTACTTTTAATTATTCATGGTCCATTTCAATTTTTTTCTCAAATTTGAAGCCTACAAATAGGCTTGATTTTTCATTAGTTAAGGTATAAGTTTTATAGAAAGAATAAGAAAAACTTAGAAGTTCTTATCACTTGTATTCACATTATAATGATTTTATTTTTTGTTATCCTTTCCTTCAATTCTTCTATTATTTTTATTTATTTTATAACATAACTCAAAATATCAAAAATTAATTTTAAAAAAAGATTTTTTAGTTAACGATAATAATCAAATCAAATAAAATGATAATATTTACTCGAACATAATAATTAAAAGACAGTTTTAACTAAATTAATAGCACAAAGCTCAATGTTTCACAACCCCCAACGTTCAAGAGGAAAATGCCATTAAACCCAATTATTATTTTAAGGATTACATGTATCTAGAATGAGTGTAAATTTTAACTTCCAACTTCCTCTTAGAGAAATATGGTCAAGTCTTTGACACTTTCAAATATATAGTTTAACCAGTTTCTTGCAATAACCACCAGTTTTTACAGTGGAAAGCGACCCCGTTGAAGGAAAGTACATACGTACAACAGGTACCCAAGCAAAATTATAGTAACGCAAAACATGTGCTCGTTAAAAATATCAAACCAGCACGAGACTTGTCGGTCTGTATTGTACTAGGCGTGGATAAGATCATTACATACCTTACGTGTATTTTTCAACCAAAAGAAAAAACACGACAACTCTTTGTTTTTTTTTTAATTGTCATATTACTGCATGATGGAACTTTGTCCTTTGTCCCTTTATAAATATACTCCTATCTTGGTCACTACTATTACCATATTCTACACTGCTCCTTCTTAGAAAATATTGCACATTATTCAGAAGAAATCATATAAGTTTTTTAGAGAGAAAAAAGAGAGAGATATCATGGGGAGTTTAGGAGAGATTCAGGAGGAAATAGAAAGTCGGGTTTCACTTTCAACTGGAACAGCCTCCATGCCTTTATCTTTGAACCATGTCTCATTTGTTTGTAAGTCTGTTCCTGAATCTGTCAAGTTCTACGAGGAGGTTCTGGGTTTTGTTCTCATCAAAAGACCTTCTTCCTTCAAATTTGAAGGAGCTTGGTACGTATACACTCTTAATTACCTCTCTCTCTCTCTAAACATATTATGCTTAATTGTATCCTTGAGATGGTTGGCTGTCATAATATCATCAACTCATAGTTGTTTTTTTTAATTATATTATTTATTTATTTTCTAAGAGAAAAGGGAAACACTAAATATATTTTCGTGAAGAGACTAATATTTTGAGAATATATGATTATGTTACTGAAATTGGGAGAAAAAGCAAAATAAGCTCCTCTGCTGTGTCTAGTTTTGTTTCTTGCCCAAACCTTTGGAACCTTCAGGAATTCTTTTTTATTGACTTATTATCAAGAAAATGTATTATTATTTTTTAAACGTGTCATATTAATTAATGTAGGGATTCACATTATTTCACAAAATTTTCAGCACATTTCTTTGATTGCATGTCATGACATTTGATCGACCCATTGGCATTTGAATAAATTTTGGTTTCATCCCCTTGAAGTTAGTGTGATTTCATCAAATATTCAAAGATTTATACCGATATTTGGCGATATATGCACTATGTTGAGCTGGACTTTTGGCCTATTTCCTTGAAATATAATGAATTGAACAATCCTAACGAGCTATCGTCATTTGCTCAATACATCCAAAAAAAAAATCTCCCTTTAATTAATTATAAACAAGTACCATGTTTTCTTCTTTTCTTTTGCTTTTTTCATTTACCTTAATTACCGCAAATTTATAAATTAATATGAAGGGATTAACATCATAATTGAAGGGTATGCTTTTTTCTACTTTCTTCTTCTGCCTCTTGTATTTAAAAGGAAAGATCGAATTCAAAACCTCTTGAAGATTAAAAAAAAAAACTAATATCAGTTGAGTTTTTGACAAATTGTCTCTTAACCTTAATTAGACACAATTTGATATTACGGTTTGTGTGATTTTTGATAATTTCAATATAAAAATATCAAGACCATCAAAATCAATTTTTAATTTAATGTTTTTTTCATAAAAAAAAAAATCTGAAAAATACTTTCAACAACCTTGTTATCGAACACATAATTATAAAAAGTAAACTTCTCATGCATAATTAAATATGATGTAATTGCATGTATTTTTTTATTGACTGCAAGCCTGTTAAAAAAAAAAAAAGTACGAGGATGCACTGATGCCGAAGAATCTGAATTGTGGACCCATACCTTTACGGCTGAAAAAATTTGCATTACTGTCCCTGTTGAATCTTTTTTTTTTTAATTATTATTATTAATTTTTATCACGGCTAAAGGTGATTTTATGCATGCTGAGTGCGCTGCCAATTCGGCTATAGCTAATTATTTTTTTATTATTTGTTTTCCCACATGTTTTTTCCATTATAGAAAGGGTCAATTATATTTTTTGTCCTTATAGATTCATCAGCATTCCTCTTTTATCCTCATTTTATAATCCTTATTTCTCTTGTTTTATCACATGTTATAGCATCTCACTCGAGCTCTTATTTAAAAAATATATATATAAAAAACTAAATTAAGAACAAATTCAATAAGTAAGATTTTATAGAAATTAAAAGGGCATATGTTATTGAGAAATTTTAAATTCTGGAGGTGAGAGAGAAACATAAATGAATCTATAGAGACAAAAAATTAAGTCTACTTTTATAGAAAACAGGTTCGATATTGACAGGGAATTGGTGCAGACAGCTACAACTTGTAGACTTTTTGCATTTGAATGGGGTAGGTTTTCATTATGATCCACCAACCACCACGAGAAATTAAGAAAAAATAAATAATTAATAAATGAACCTGTCCCTAGCAAAGGTCTCCCCATCTTGACCTGTGTCCATACAATGGAATGGAGCCTATTGTAGCATAATCAATAGCATTTTTCAATTATATTTTTGCTTTATTAAGATCATTCAACATAAGAATTTAATATCATTTTTGTAGAAATTAATATAAAATATTGTGATTTAACAGTAATGGAGTTGTTTTGATTTAGTGAAGAACCAAATTCAATTCTCATAATCTAATATTTATGGATAATCGATAATCGACTAAAAACTAAATGTTTTTTTTATATTGATTTAATTAAAAAAAATAAAATTATTTTTAAATGACACTGAGTGTGAAACGGTTTGATCTAAACGATAATCTAATAGTAGACAAAAAAACTAAAAATATTTTGATACCGATCTATCTCAAAAAATAATTTGACTTAAACGACAATTTAATAGTATTTAATAGTTGACAAGAAACTAAAAACATTCTAATAGTGATCTATCTCAAAAAGTGGTGGCTTGATGATCCATCATACTCACTGTCGATAGCTATGAAATAGAAAAATTAGTAATATGTGGATGTGGTTCGTCCATCCATCATGCCCCACCCGCCCATTACTCATGCAATTGCTAGCCATTTGCAAGTCAGATTGATTGATGAACTTTTGGCATTGCATAACAGGAATGGCTGTTGAATAATTTGAAGAATTGTTATAGCAATGTCTGTTGTAAATTAATCAATATGGTTGTTGGAATTATTATTAATGCTTCAAGAAATAATGAAGTGGGTTACTTTTCAGGTTGTTCAACTATGGGATAGGCATCCATTTGCTTGAATCAGACAAGGACGTCCCAACAAAGAAAAGCAAGATCAATCCAAAAGACAACCACATTTCATTTCAATCCTCAGACATGAATGTTGTTATAAAGAAACTAGAGGAGAAGAACATTGAATATGTAACAGCAGTTGTTGAAGAAGGTGGCATTACAGTTGATCAGCTCTTCTTCCATGACCCTGATGGCTACATGGTTGAAATATGTAACTGTCAAAATCTCCCGGTTCTTCCACTTTCTGCATGCCCTCTCAGTTTACCACAAACCAATGGGAAACTAGCACCATCACCATCACTATATGGTAAGGTTCTTCCATGCAGCTAGCTGCTTAGTTAGATTTGGTTTCTCTCTTATATACTGTCAGCTATGGTCCTAACATTTACAGGAAAATTAATGGCAGGGAAGCAAAGTTGGGAGTTGCAATGCTTTGCAGAAGTTGCCTCTCTGATGATGGACAACTTGGTGGTGGACTTGATGGATATTTCAATATGACGATTCAGGAAGATTGTGGAACGCCAAGTTTTGCTGCAGCTTGCAAAATTGTTTTATATACGTTTGTAAAAAAAGAGGTTGAAACTACAGCTTTGTAATGTAATAAAAATCACTAGGATTGTGAGGAGATTCTCTATCTCCATCAAATAATGATTCTTATGTATATTATAGTGCTCGGTTTCATCTACTGTCCATGTTCAAGAAAAAACAAAAATGTCCACTATCCATGTGCTTCCTCTGTGAGTGTCTCTGTACGTATGCGTTAATCTTTTCCTTTTCATCAACCAAGTCCATTCATTAGGCTAAATCATCTGCGAACAGCCAGATTGGTAGGTTTCCATCTTGATCAAAGAAAGAACCAATTGATGGGATAGATTATTGGAAAGGAACTCATAGCGCCCAAGACTTGTGGTGGGATGAGGTTCAGTGATTTCGGAAAACTCCATCTCTCTTGCATTATTAGGGAAACAGTAAAGGTTGATTTAGCTGTCACAAGTGGGGCCTACAGCTAGCATGTAACGTTCTGTAAAGTTCGTCATTTAAATCTACAGAAACAAATATGTTATGGCCGATATTTGAATCTATGGAAACAAATACGTTGCCTTGTCTATTTTTTTGGAGATAAGTGTAAACAGATATTGTTTCCATGCTTGGACCTTTTGACGTCCGTCTATATGTTACATTGCAGATTAGGTGTGCATGATTTTGAGGAGGCTGCTGGTGCAATAGTGATCATGTAGATAACGAATGCACATTTAATCACTAACGGGCAGTTGAGGTGGCAAATCTGTTACAAGTGAGTAATAGATGTGGAATAAGTTGGAGTGTGAAGAGTGTGAGGAGCAATTAGGAATTTGTTACAAGACAGTTAGGGAGTCGGTTAGCTTAGAGAATTCGTTTATAAATAGAGGAAAAACACATTTTTGCAAGGTAGGCAAGATTTAGTGTTTTCTCCTTCTCTAGATTCTCTTTGTAATATCTTTTCTAGAACTCTCTCTTCTGCTCTTGTCTCTTATGTGCTGATAACAATTCCTTCCTTAATCTTTTTGTAATTTTGATTTATCAATTACTATTGTATTGAGTTCATTTTAGTTTTGATTCAAATAACATCACTCAATCCATTGTTCTTGCATTTCTCTCGTAATTTCTTGTTTACGGAATTGGAATTGCGACGAATTAATATCGAGCTTTGATTCGATCATCCGTGGAAAACTAATACATCGGTCATGGCAAAAAGAAATGTTGATATTAAGAAAATGGAGGAATCAATTTCCACCCTCACTAAGGCGATCATTGACCTTACTCTTAGGTGTGACTCTGTCTTTTCACAAAATGATCATGACATTGGAGAACCGAAGGAGATAGTTAATGGACCGACGATTACTGATCATCGAGAAATTGAATGGTAATGTAGTCGAGGATCTAGGAAATGTGAATGAGAGGAAATATGAAATTCCTAGGTATGGGTATTCAATGTATGGAATGAATACTGGTGGAGGATCTAACGAGTGGTGTAGGGGCGATATGGGTTATAACTTCAACACTAGGATGTCTAAAGTGGAATTTTCCAAATTTACGGAAGATGACTTTGAGGGATGAACTTTTAAGTATGAGAAATTTTTATAGTGGACGGAACTCCTAAGGATGTTAAGGTGGATCTAGCGGTAATACATCTAGAAAAAGAAGCACTTGGAATGGCACCGGGTATTCATGAGAATGAATGGAAACCGATCATTGATTAAGTGGGAGGATTATATTGAAGCTATAAGCATATGCTACTATGGTTTTCAATGATCCTATGGCTGAATTAATGATAATTAAACAAGTGCGGAATGCCCGATCCTTCCTAAAGAAATTTATCTCTATGGTCGATAGAGCTAGCTTTACTCGAAGACTATGTTATTAGTTTTTTTATCGGAGGACTCAAACCCGAGTTACGGGTTCCAATTAGAGTGATGAGACCAAAAAGCTTTAAAGAAGCGATAGCTATAGCTAAGTCGCAAAAACCAATCCAAACATTCACCATACCCTAAACAGATTTGTCTGCTAGAGTCAATTCCCTATATTCAACCATAAATCAAACAATAACCCGACCTTTTTCAATTTTAGAATGAATAATGTTACCAATTACAAACCTCCAAACTCCTCATTCCAAAATGCACCTATGAATCAGCCCATCAATTCCACAAACAACCAAAAAGGCCCGTTACCCTTGCCAAACCAATTCCAAAATAACAACTCAATCTTCGAACTAAGAGATCGCTCTAATAACACAAAGATGGATGAAAGGAGGATAAAAAGATTGTGCTATTTCGTGATGACGGATACACTCACGGCCATAGGTGTAAGGGAAGGCAAATGTTAATGTTAGAAGTGGAGGAGGGTGGTAATAATGTAAGTGAGATTGAGATGAGTGAAGAGGAATTATTAGGAGGAGAGTCACTAGATACGAGAAATTATAGTGAGGAATTATGTCGGATATCAATACAGGTAGTGTTTGGAGGGAGTATTTCCGGACTATGAAAATCATAGGGAATTTATAAGGGAAAAGAATGAACATTTTGGTGGATACCGAAAGTACACATAATTTTATGGACTTAGGATTCTCCGGAAGGAATAATTATAATCCGACTTAGATTGAGCCGATCACAGTGAAGGTGCCCGATGGTGCGGATATGTGGATATATATGTAAGGATTTTAAGTGGAAAATACGAGAGGGCGGATTTTGAAACATCGGTGTTTGTAATGCAATTGGGGTTATATGACATGATATTGGGGGTAGGTTGACTTTATGCATTGGGTGATATCACTTGGAACTTTCAACACATATGGATGAGATTTTGAATGAGAAATAGGTTGTCCACACTTGTTGGGGAAAGGGGTCAACGGAAGTAAAACTAGGGAAGAAAGAGAGATAGATAAAAACATTTGCTTTCAATAATCACTTAATTAGATCCAATTGAATGCATTGATTGAACTCGAAGTATGAGAGTTAAAAAAAATAAGGATAACCATAGAGCATCGATTTCTTTAGAGTTAAAGGCGATAGTCGATGCATTTGAAGATGTTTTTGAGGAGCCAAAAGGACTACCACCAAACGAAGTCATGATCATAAAATAAGGCTCGAGGAGAGAGCCGAGCTCGTAACCATAAAGCCTTACGAGTACCATTCAATCCAAAAGGATGAAATAGAGCATCAAGTTAAAGATATGCTAGAGAATGACATCATTCAAGCTAGCACCAATCCATTTTATTATTTTATAATGTTAGTGAAGAAGAAAGATAACACATGAAGGATATGTGTGGACTACGGGAGATTGAATCAGCTTATTATCAAGGATCAATTTCCAATTTCAGTTATTGAGGAACTATTAGAGGAGTTGCAAGGGTCAATGGTGTTTTCTAAATTAGATTTAAGGGCTGGTTATCATCGGATTAGGATGAATTTGTTGGATATTCTAAAAACGACTTTTAAAACTCACAATGAACATTATGAATACTCGGTTATGCCTTTTAGTTTAACTAATGCCCCTAGTACCTTCCAATGCCTTATGAATGATGTGTTTAGACCATTTTTACACAAATTTATTTTGGTTTTCTTTGATGATATCTTGGTTTTTAGTAAAACTATGCATGGAAATGTTTTGCATCCACAAACCACTCGTCCATATTGAGGGAGAACACCTTATTTGTAAAAAAATCCAAATGCACATTTGGAACCACCAAGGTAGAGTATTTGAGGCATTTTATTTCTACAACGGGGATGTAGGTCGATCTACGAAAGATAGAGACAGTGCAACGAATGGCCGTACCTATAAAGCTGAAGCGACTAAGAGGGTTTTTAGGCCTTACCGGCTACTATAAAAGATTTATGAGGAATTATGGCAATATAGCTAGGCCACTCACTAATCTACTTAAAAAAAGATGTTTTTACTTGGAATTCGAGAGACAAATACGAGTATTTGAGGAGTTGAAACAAGCCATGATCACCACCCTTGTCTTGGCATTACCAAAGCTACAAGAGGAGTTTGTTATTGAGACCGATGTGTCCGGAATGGGTAAAAGTGCTATTTTAATGCAAAAGGGACATCCGAGTTGCTTTCATCGATAAGCAACTTTCATCGAAGCACCAGTCGTTATCGGTACACGAGAAGGAGTTTGTTGCTATTCCGTTTGCAATGAAGAATGACACTTCTATTTGGGTGATCGACACTTCATCATCCGTATGGATCACTAGAGTTTGAAGCATTTGTTAGACCAAAATATACACAATGCTAGCCAATTTAAGTGGTTAGTGAAACTTATGGGATATGGTTATGAAATTATCTACAAGAAGGGAAAAGAAAATATGGTGGTAGATGCGCTATCCGGGGTGCAACTAATCTGCTTTAGCTACTTCTTTAATTTCTACCGACTTAATGGAGAAGATTAAAGAGTTCGGTCTTCGGATCATGCATTGACGAAGTGATATCACAATTGTAAACTTTAGGAGCGATCCATCTTAAGTATAAGCGACAAGATGACCAATTGAGAAAAAAAGACAGATTGGTTATGGGGAGAATGCATAATAACATAAGGAAATAATTTTCTATTTTCATGATTCGATTGCGAGTGGTCATTCTAGAGTTGCAGCTATTATTAAGAGACTGTCGCCATGGTTTTATTGGAGGGGCTTAACCATGAAGTAAGAGAGTTTGTGAGGAACTCCTCTATCCGCTAACGAGTGTAAGTATGGGAATATGGCTAGTCCGGGGTTGCTCAATCAATTTCCATTACCTCGGGCTATCTTTATGGACATTACTATGGATTTTATTGAGGGCTTGCCATTATTTCACGAGAAATCAACTATTTTTATGGTGGTAGATAGGTTGATAAAATATCCTCATTTCATACCACTGTCTTATCCGTATTCCGTCGGTGTGGTAGCCAAAGCTTTTATGGAGAATGTTTATAAATTGCATGGATCGCCTCCGAACATCATCTCGGATAGAGATTTCATTTTTTTTAGCAAGTTTTGGAAGGATTTATTTGTATACCAAGGAGTTTCCTTTAAGTTTTCCATTACTTACCATCCACGGATAGATGAAAAAGCTGGGGTTGTGAATAGATGCTTGTAAACTTACCTATGATGCATGACCTCATCTCTTCCTAAGGCATGGTGTAAGTGGTTGTGCTTGGCGAAATACCGGTACAACACCTCATTTCACTTAACCATCAAAAGAACTCCTTTTGAAGCCTTGTATAGGCATTACCTTTCCGTGCATCTTTCTTACTTTGTAAAAGATTATGAAGAGATGGAAGTGAATGACTTTTTGCAGGACAAGGAGGCTATCATTGAGTCTGCTCAAAGATAATTTAACTAAAGCTCAATCACGAATGAAGAGGCAAGCTAATAAAGGCGAGTGTCCGAAAAAGCTTTTCGGATAGGGAAGTGGGTGTATCTTAAGCTTCAAGCTTATAGATAACACACTATGGTCCAAAAGAAGAATCGAAACTCGTCCCCCGATATTATGGACCTTATAAAATCATTAATAAGGTTGGAGAAGTTGCTTATACTCTTCAACTTCCTACTCGGTTCTTTGATTCACCCAACTTTTCATGTTTCACAACTCAAGCTTCCTATAACAAGATTACGATGTAAGAAGAGTTACCTATGGCGATAAGATCATCCGTAATTCTAGTAGCCATCTTGGATAAAAAGATGGTGAAACATGATAATCAAGTCGTCACCAAACTCCTTATCTAAGTGGTCAACTGGGACACCTAGTGATGCTACATGGGAGTTTGCCTTTGACATGGCTACTGATTTCCTTCTTTTAACTTTTAGGATAAAGTTGCTTAAGTGGGGGAGTATTGTTACGTTATAGATTAGGTGTGCATGGTTTTGAGGAGGTCGCATGTGCAATAGTGATCATGCGGATCATGCATGCACATTTAATCACTAACGAGCAGTCGAGGTGGCAAATCGTGCACGAGTCAATAACATAGGTGGAATAAGTTGGAGTGTGAAAAGTGTGAGGAGCGAGTTAGGAATTTGCTACAAGATAGTTAGGGAGTCGGTTAGCTTAGAGAATTCGTTTATAAATAGAGGGAAAACACATTTTTGTAAGGTAGGCAAGATTTGGTGTTTTCTCCCTCTCTGGATTCTCTCTGTAATCTTTTTTCTAGGAATCTCTCTTCTGCTCTTGTCTCTTCTATCTCTGGTAATAAATTTTTCCTTAATCTTTTTTAATTTTGATTTTATCAATTACGAGTTGTATTGAGTTCATTTTAGTTTAGATTCAAATAACATCACTCAATCCATTGTTCTTTCATTACTCTATAATTTCTTGTTTCGGAATTGAAATTGCATCACTATCCTTGAGAAAAGCTAGTGCTTTTGATATTTCTCCTTCTTGGTGGGCTTGTGATTACTTCGTTGACGTATGAAGAGGTGTCCGAGATGAAACGGATGTTACTTCGGGAAGTTTACTATTTTCACGAGATGAATTGTATATTTTTCTTCTAGGTGGGATCGCCGACATACAAATGGATGTATGAGATGAAATAGATGTTACTTCGTGGATGTTTATAACTTATCTTAGGACAATAACATATGCGAGTTGTGTGGGGGTTTTACCGATCGGTAATTTTATTAGTTTTTTGATTTATAGAAGTAACAAGACGAGTGGAAATTCGTTGTCTAACATACAAGAAAGCTTTGAAAGGGAGAGTTCAATGTTTTTTTTTTTTGCTAAAGATTGATCAAAAGTTAGAAATTGATGTGAGATCGATATTTATAATGAAAAAAAATGATTTTTTTACTATTACGATAGTGTCATATCATTCAAATTTGAAGGGCCATACTTGACTTGAAGAATTTAGATTTTTTGAATTAAATTGTTTTAATTTGATAAAAAAGCTAAAAATAAATAACAATTGAACATTCTTTTAATGGATTATGTTCTAAATTCCTTAAATCAATTCCTTTAATGCATCTCAAAATAAGTATGAATACTGATTTTGTCAATATATATATATATCCATCATTGCAACTTATAACTTTGTGTGTTTGTTGAGGTCTATTCTTATTCCAATTGACCTAAAATATAGTTTGAATTCAAGTCAAATATATATATATATATATATATATATATATATATATATATATATATATATATATATATATATATATATATATAATAATAATAATAATAATAATAATAATAAAAGGTTAATTAAGTTACTTAATTATTTTTTATGAATAAATTGAACTTATGCAAATAGTTAGGATAGTAGATGTTTTTTCCATGCTAAAAAACACAAGTGCGTCATCATCATCGAACATGACTCGAGAAAGGTTAGAGTAGGTCCTTTCAATTTTGAAACCTTGCAAATGATTATTGTCAAGTGCATCGGATAGCAAGTTGGACAATAAGTCTAAAATTACTAAAAAGAGGTACGGTGACAATGGGTCTAAGACCCTTAAACCGAAAAAAATATGTGAAATGAGATAATCGATATGTGGTGTAGTTAAACTTGTTGTATCTACTAGATTTATTGAATGGATTTAGAATTGAACGATCTCAATATGATAAGATGCTTTTATGTTTACGTCAATAAAAAGTATAGGAGAAAAGTGAAAAAAATATTTGAGAAAAGTATTTGGTTATGTAAAATATGTTTATCGTTTGACGACGTGAAAATCCATCAACTTTATTTATACTTCATTTTTTAGTCATCGGTGTTTGCATTAACTTTCAAGTTAATGAATCATTAAACATTAGTCGTAAGTTAGTTGGTTAATAGACATTTATGATTATTTGTAATATTTTATAAAAATATTTTTTATATTTGAATTTTGTATTTTTTGTATTTTTTTATTTTTCAAGATTTTTTATTTCGGATCCTTTATTATAACACTATCAATCAATGATTGACATATGGTGGAGATTTTTTATTTTAAAATATCACGTTTACTTTACTCATTCATGGTGTTATAACGAAGTGTATGAAGAGAAAAATCTTAAAAAATAGAGAATCTCAATTAAAAATAAAATGAAATAGAATCTTGATAAAAAATAAGTTGAAAAGTACATAGTTCAAATATAGAGTAAACCCTCTTGTAAAGATGTGACCATTAAATTATCCATAACTCTTCGTTGCCTAATTTGAATCCATTACTTTGTTGAATCATAACCGATGAAAACATAGTTTAGAAATGTGGATGACACTTGTAATTTAGGACACTACACACACATCAATCTATAAAGTTTTGAGTTAGATGTATAGGCTCGTTAGGATTTTTTTATTGTAACCCTAATTGTTCATACTAAAAAATAGAAACAATATTACTTGTATTTATAGCTACTACTTGATAAAACCTTAAATCCTAATGCAATCGTAAAGTAAGTATATTAATCGAGTTGCATAAATCTTTGTATTGCGTTATTGTTCTTGTCTTTTTATTTTATTTTTCAATTGAATCCTCCATCTACATACCTTTTCTCAACTAGATCCTTTTATGAAAATGATTGAAGTTGGAGTTAAATAGTGCACATGCCAGTCACCTATTTTATAATTTACCATAATTTCTCAAAATCTTAAAAGCAAAAGTGTCAAATTAGTTTTTCAATTTAAAACAATTTTAGGCTAATCGAGGTACAATTGAAGTAATTTTATACTCTAATTACATACATGCTCTTACTCGTATTGAATGAGAGGGAAAACTAAGTATATTTATTTGAAAAAATCAAGATTAGTTACTAAATATGTAATCATAAGGGATTTAATTGATAAAAAAAATGGACAATTATGGGAATGATCAATAGTTGGAGAACTAATCTGAGGTTCCCAATTTTATTTATCTATTATTTTTGGTTTGTCGAAATATTATATATTATTTCCTTTTCTTTTATCAAAACTTGGAAATCTTAACTGCCTCTTGCAGAGGCTGGGCTTGTTTCGGCAAATCAAACTTTTCCTTAGAAATGCTATCAAGCCCATGACTGTCTTGCCTGATCCACCAGCCCATGAATGTTTTGCCTAATCCATTAGCCCATGACTGTCTTGCATGATCCATTAGGCCCATGTATTAGTATGCTATCGATTTTCACTTCACTCCAGGATTCCAACACCGAGAGCCAGAGGTAGCGCCCGGTGAGAGTGACTTGCCGCAAATTGTCAATGATTTGTTTTCCGACCGATGGCTCTCTGTTTGAGGTGAGCTTTGGTTATTAGATACATAGACTCGGACAACATTGTTGATATTTGATAACTTTTAGTTTGTGTTTGTTTTCTGTAAGGAAATAGTAGTAGAAATGGCAACACAGAAAATATTGCAAACATTCAAGAAACCAACCAATACTACAAATCCCATTTCGTTATCCGATTCAGAAGTCGCAGAAAAGATTGCTAAAACCCTAATTAAAGCTGGCGTAGAACCCTTTAAAACAACCAACTCATCTCTGCTTTCCAACCTAAATTCTCACACAACCAACCTTGTTCTCTCCAACCCAAATCTCCCACTTCATTCTTGCTTGACTTTCTTCAACTTTCTGCGAAAAAATCAATCCTTTGTTTCTCATAAACCCGACCTCCAATCCCATTTAGGCATTATTTATAGATTATTCAAGGCTAGAAAGTTTGCAGAAATGAAAAATACTTTGACTTATATTGCTGTGGATAGTAATCTTAGATGCCCAGTTTCGAATCTGGTTTCTTTGGTTGAAGAGAATGGATTTAATAATGAACCCAGCTTTGTGGAGAAGTTGTGTGATATGTTGTTTAGGGTTTATGGAGATTGTAATTTGTTTGAAGAGGGTTTTGGGGTTTTTGATTATATGGTGAGTTGTGAGTTAAAGATTGAGGATCGGTCTTGTATTGTGTTTTTGCTTGCATTGAAGAGGTGTGATAAAATGGAGGCTTGTTTGGGTCTTTTTAAAAGAATGGTTGACTCTAATGTGGAGGTTACGGTTTATTCTTTGACGATTGTGATAGATGGGTTGTGTAAGAGGGGAAGGGTTAAAAGGGCTAAGCATTTGATGATTGAAATGGCTAGTAAAGGTATTAAACCGAATGTTATTACATATAACACACTTATAAATGCATATATTAAGAAAATGGATTTTGAGGGTGTTAATGAGATGTTGAGCTTGATGGAGATGGATAAAGTTGCATTTAATGCGGCCACTTATACTCTTTTGATTGATTGGCATGGAAGTTCTGGTAAGATTGATGAAGTTGAGAGGGCGTTTGAGGAAATGCGTGAGAAAGGGGTTGAAGCAGATATTCATGTATATACTGTGGTCATTAATTGGAATTGTAAAATTCGAAATACTAAAAGGGCATTTGCCTTGTTTGATGAGTTGACTGAGAAAGGCCTTGTTGCCAATGTTCACACTTATGGGGCATTGATTGATGGTGTTTGCAAGGCTGGTGAAATGGAGGCAGCTGAGATATTGGTGAATGAGATGCAAAGCCAAGGGCTTGATCTTAATCAACTGATATTTAATACGCTTATAAATGGTTATTGCAAAAGAGGGCTGATAAATGAAGCTTATAAGGTGCAAGGCATAATGGAGAAGAAAGGCTTTAAGAATGATATCTATACTCTTAACACGATTGCTGATGGGTTACGTAAATTGAACCGGCAAGAAGAAGCAAAGATGTGGTTGCTTACAATGATTGAAAAGGGTGTGGCTCCTAATGTTGTTAGTTATACTACTCTGATTGACATATATTCCAAGGAAGGGAACCTCGTGGAAGTAAAGAAACTGTTTGAAGAAATGCAGGAAAGGGGGAAAAGCCTAATGCTGTTACATATAATGTTGTGATTGATGGTTACAGCAAGAAAGGTAGGATGAAGGAAGCTTACAAGCTAAAAGATCAAATGAGAGCAGAAGGGTTAATCCCTGACATATATACTTACACATCCCTTTTGCATGGAGAATGCATTATTGGGGAGCTGGATGAGGCAGTGGAACTGTTCAATGAAGTGCGCCAAAAGGGCTTCCCTCTCAATTTAGTCACTTATACAGCAATAATTTCGGGCTTGTCCAAGAAAGGAAGGTCTGAGGAAGCATTTAAGTTGTATGATGAGATGACAGAGGCAGGTCTTACATCTGATGATAGAGTATATACTTCACTTGTCGGCAGCCTTCACAGAGTCTAGTTTATCTTCCACAATTTTACTGGTGAAGTATGATATGTTTTTGATCGAAGAGGCCCTGAAATTCTATGTGGGTATCTTGGGATTTGTGCTCAACTGCTAACTTTGAAGGAGCATGGTATGCATGTTATTCTCCTCCTCGATTGTTATTAATTATAATTCACTGTTATTTATCATTGTTCTTTTGGTGGTGAACAGGTTTTGAATTCATGTTTGACAACTAGAGTGTCTCTTTAATCTTTACTGTGGAATCTTTTAGACTTTGTCTACGGCTTGAGAGCCTTTCTGCCTTGGTCAGTGCCTCAGTTGCACTACTAAATGCTTATATTTATCATACTGTCTAAGTAAATTTCCTTCACATGTTTGAATCGTTGGGTATGGCTAGATCATACTAGAATTAGGCAGCCACTGAACTTAAAATAAGTTTTCATCTCTTGTTTACCTATTTGTAGCTTTCCTCCATTTTTTTCTTTTTTTGACTCATAAGTTGCCATATTTTTTTAAGTAGCTTGTCTTTTTGACTATGCACCCACCCAATAAAAATTGACTATTTGGCTGAATAGGGTGGATTTCATTAGGATGCTAGGCTGCTGTTTGTTTTTGGGCACTAAATTACTGTGGTTTATCAAGTCAATTTTCACATTGCCTGGATTATAGTGATAGTGGCTACTGCACCAATTTCTTCTGGTTTGCCTTGTTTTTTAATGTCTGCACCACCCTTCTCATGTCTTACAGTGTTAAAGATTAATACTGGTGCCAACATTTTTGTTTTCCAAAAAAGTAGTATATATTTGTTTTTAGTCCGCGAGGTTCATTCCTAGACTCAAAGACATGCTTGCTAAAATTTAAAGTTCGTATTTTTTTTGGTTTGTGTGCATGGGCTGACTCGAGTTTGTAAATTGCTATTATTATTTGGACTTTATTATCTCTACATATCTATGATATTTAACTGAAGTTTAAATTACTACGCCGTTCAACTATTTTATTGGTACTTGGCTTCCATTTAGTTGAATGAATCGTTTAGACAAGTACATTTCCTTCCAACACTTAACTTGATTACTTGAATGCAGTTATGAGGAAGTTAAAGAAGATTAAGCATGCCACAGCAGTTGTGGAAGAAGTGACATTACAGACTTGCAGTCAACAGCGCTGCCTTCTTGTTGAAATGTTCAATTGCCAAAATCTCCCCCTTCTTTCGCCCATGCTCTTCATGCCTTCTCAAGCTACCAAAAGCCTATAGGTAAGATGCATTATCACCATCATCATACGGTTTGGATTTTTCATGCTAGGTGTTTGGCTCAAGATCATCCACTTAATTCATACTTCTATTTGATCTTTGGTCTCATTTTTCAAACATGGTTTCTTAGCTGTTGTATCGTGTGTGTTACCTTGTCCAATAGCCTCTCTAATGCAGCAAAAAAAAAAAAAAAATTGGAAACTTCCTTAACCTTTTTGTAATGATATCTAATAAGTCTGACTCTTAACAATCATTCTAAACAATGCAGGGGATAAAGCTGGGAGTTGCATGATTTGCCTTGGGGAATCACTCTAATGAACTTCAAGGTAGACGTCTGAGTATTTGAGGTTGATCCACGAAAGCTCTGGCGCATGCAGTTCGCAAATTTATTTTGCATACTAAGCGATGAGACGGTGAAAGTTCTGGAACATGGGAGAAAAGAGTGTGGTCCTTGTGTATCGGTGGCTGATTCGACTATAAAAGTGCAATTCTCTCCCAAAATAATCTCATAAATAATCTCATGCTTTTTTTAAGAGTCCTTTGGCTTTTAGAGACTTCTGGCTGGCCATTAGATGTGCTTGGTGACAAAAAACACTACACAAAATCTGAGATGCATTTTTCACGAGTCCTGTAGTTTTGACAGCCGCAGTGGCCTACAAATTGCTTCAGTTGATACTAATAATATTTATCATCGTTCCTGCATCATCCCCATTTATGAAATGTATCTATTCTTGGCAATTACAATGAAATATGTTCATACTGAAAATGAAGCAGGATGTGTTCGTTGCGAAAGAGATGCGAAGCTATAAAATTAATGCTGATAACTCATACAATGAAGAAGATCAATGAGGAACTTTGCCTCAGTAAATGTTACATGTCAACAAAGTCGATTCCTTTGTCAAATTATCTTCCAATTGCTCAACATATTTTCCCTGGTCAAATTTCAATTATTTTGTGATTCCACCACAAGTACCTACCTCTGTCAGTTAGAAACTTCCAAGCTACAATTAGCCATGCTCCCATTAGACAGCAACGAAGTGAGTTGTGGTTGGATTGGTACAAATGTACAGGCGAGAGGGCTTGGCAGAAGGGCAGTGGAAAGAAATGTGCATCCTTTCAGTCACACAAGGAGATGACAACAAAAACATCATCAAGGGACCATTTTCTTGGTTCTGACTTTTCAGGAGGGTTAATGATGGCACGCTCTGCATTAGCAAGGCGATAACCAATCACAATTTCATTTCTTTGACGACCCCTAGTCATTATCTCAAAAAAAGGGATCTCTTCCTGATCAAATAGGTAAAATTCTGCTGGTTTAATGCACATCTCATTGCCCTGCAGATAGGAACAAGTTGTAAGCATGCAAAATTTCAAAGTTGGGCCTTGGGAGAAGGAAAAACAATTGCAGGGACAGAGATCCGAGCACTTATGGAATAAGTACAGCTACGTAAGACAAAACATAACAGCATTGGGTTCAGATAAGATATGGAAGGTACCTCCTCTGCGAACAGTTCCTCAAGAACACGATTTATTTGCTTGTCTTCAGCTACCATTGCGAGTGCCATACTTACCAGCTCATTTGACAGCACATAATCACTGATTCTAGACACGGAGACAAGGTTTCTAGTCCTAGAATCTAAGATTTCACTAATAATTATTGATTTGTCAGAAGCTTGTTGCATTTCACTGATCCATGAGCTGTGAGAGAACCCAGCAAGCCGTAAAGAAGTTGGCTTTTCATCTCTGTAAGGGAGACGCTTTAACTGCATTCCATGAGGCAAAGAAGAGGCAGCTTTATCAGTAATTCAAAACATGGACATGCAGCAAAATGTGTTTTATAACTAGATCTTCGTTTTCTACTAACAAAAACAAGAATAGCAAAACACATGCAATTTAGACCTTCTCTCTTCAATTCTAAATTTCTGAACCTAATCTCCTCCAAGAAATTATACACTTCATCTCCTATTACTGTAAATGTAGGTCTTTTTTCTTTTTTCTTCCAAAAAAAATGGGAACAATATTAAGGCTAATGACTAAATACATAACTAATCCATGTTGGGCTGACGAAAAAGAAGTCAAATCATCACTTCAGCAGCGAAAAAATGGAAAACCAATTAATAAACATTACTTTAGTAGAGTAGTAACTGTTCTGGCTCGTAACAAACTAAAATGCGTCAGCAGTAAAATATTATCCATACAACCTGCATTTTATAATGATTCAAAGACAGATGGAAAATTAATTGGAAAGGAGCATGAAGATACAAAAACTGGTGGTTCGCGATGGTTAGCTAGCCTACAGCTGAAGCCACTATCACAAGTTCTCTAAAATACTGAATTTACGAATGTGTGTCCTCTTCTCTTGTTATCAAATAAATAAAAAGAAGAAGAATAACAGGATATTGTTTGAGCTGGGCAAAGAGGAAAGAAGAATGAAATATGGGATAGTATGGCTTCTACTTCACTCAAACATTACCTATTCTGCTACATGGCATCACAACTGTAACAACTACACATGCACGCGTCATCATGGAACTCCTCAAATTTTTCCACATAAAGAGTTCCATATAACTCTGTCAAACCATTTCCCTCGAGTTCTAATTAAACCTGCACTAATTGCTATGCAAGAACTATAATGTTTATTAACTAAGCATCATCCTCTAGTTGCTTGTCAATAAAACTGTGTTCAAGGAATTCAAAATGTTTCATATAGACTGATGCATGGACCTTGAAAGCTGGAAAACATGGATCTACTAGCAGAACCATGGTTGTCTTCAAAGGCATAGGCAAATACAAATTACTAGGAAAAAGAGAGGCGAGGCAGGGAGGCACTCATAATATTGAGTTCAATCAGAAATCTCATATCCCTGAGGTAGGACACAGCAATCGTAGTTACCTGTATATCTCGAATAAGGAGAAGGGTGGCGAGAGATCTTGAGTCGGAATGCACAATGGAATCTTCCAATGACTCATCTGCAAGAATTAATATCTGTCCGTTTAGAGTTAGTAATCAGAAGTAGAACTGAGCTCATGCAAGAAAGTTATAAAGGTTTTTGTGCATATATGTAAGATATCAAGAAAATTTAACTGCATAACTTCAAATGTGAATAAGTAGCCAAAAATTGTTGTAGAATCATCCAATATTGATCAAGTAAGAAGAGTCAATATAATCTTTTAAACCAAAATAAAAGGGAGCCTTTGTATGGTTAATAAGGTGTAAGAGCATCTTAACCCACTAATTTTAGGGCAATTAATAGAGTGCTTCCCCGCTATTTTCTTGCTCAAGGCCCACCAGTTATCCTTGCTAAATATGTCGCATTAGTCTGATTCTGTTAGCCTTAAACATTAGACGAATGTGGATAATCCCACATTCCTTAATCCGTATTGACTATTACAACATGATATAGCATTGCATGACATATTGGCCTCTCCACTTATTTGTTTCAACTTTTGGGCTCAATAATGTACATGGCCTTAGATTTTGTGTCATAGTATTGCTGTGATAGGTGCTAGTCGTACACGAGGGGCAGTATTGAGCAATCTCACATTGACTAAATTAGGTTCCTCAATGTTAAGGTAAGCCTCTCCATCAAATAGATTGAGTCAAGTTGACATTTGTATCCAGACGTTTATTTATATTTGAGTTTCAACCTCCAATAACCTAATATCTGGATTTATAAATGTTTTACTACTTTGAGCAAGCCCTTGTAAAACCTACCTGTATTTGAGATCCACAGGTGGTAACCTTCAATCTCAGAGTGAGACTGAGAGAGATAGCAAATTAGGTAATGCAACTTACAGAATCAAAAGTCTCAAGAGGAAGGCTCTCCAAATGCCGTTTGATGACAGCATTTCCCTCACGGTGGACAAGTGTTATGTTCTCTAAGCCAGGAATATCAAGTCCACCATCAGTAAGTTTCTTTTCTCTCTCCTTTTCTGGGACCTCATTGAACATCCACAGTTCTGAACCTGGAGCAAGTAAGGCTTCCAGAACCTGGGAAAACAGAATTCAAGTTAGAGTTCCGTAACTAATTTCCCGTTTGTTTCTTAGTCAATTACTCCAATTCAACCGCCTTCAAATGCAAGGGGGGAAATAAGGGGGAGGGGTTCAGGAATATTTAGGACTCTGCGTTATACCATTATCATGTCATCAATGTCACGTCGCCAGCCACAGAACAATATCTTCTCTGGATATTTAGGAGGATCTACTATTTTTGGACAAGAACTCTGACGTATCTGAAAACAGACATGGCATGTAAGATAAGAAAATACATCTTAAATACATTTTTTGTTTCGTAAGGAATGTAGCAAGTGCCCTTTCTGTTTTATAAGTGGAAAAGAAATTGACAAGCAGATATGATGAACTTGTCCATATGAATGATGTCCAATTGTTGTGGTGTCAGTTCCTTTCCTTTTAAACTAGATATGATGAACTTTAGCCGTATAATATAAGGCATCAATAAGGTCTTAATTTAGTAACTTCTAAAGTTGAAAATCATTGACAAGAATGCAACTCCCTGCTCACTAAGTGTGAAAAGAAGGATAACCTCTGGAAGAGGACCTGGAGCGTAGGTGTCATCATCCTCAGCCATAACAAGGACTTCATCTCCTTCTTTTAGAACATAGTTGTCATCAGGATTTAATTTTATCTTTCCACCTTCAGCCGCAACCTTAACTCCACAGGGAACTGCTTCAGGAAATGAAATGAGCACGTCTTGAAAACGCAGACCATCCAATTGAGGCCACCTTTTGATGTAAAATTCTGCATTCTCAAACCCCAGTATATCTTCCCATATCTGGCCAAAAGAAAAAATTACTCTGAATTGTTGAAAGAGAAATAAGATTAACTGGAAATTATAATTGAATAGAGATTTGAAAGGGCGTGGCACATTTATGACAAGATACCACAACTGAAGCACATTCTATCACCCCAAAAAAGAACTGGTAAATGTTTTTTCAGCTGTCCCACGACGCCATTGTGTTAATTCTTAAAATTCCAACACTAGCGGTATGGTGGAAAAGATAAGTATGTACTACATGGCATGCTATTGTTGTGGCATCTGCTTTACTTTAAATCAAACTTGAGGAATGTAGCCAGGCAATTTCAAGTGAATCAGTTGGAGCTTACATTTATAGTTTCCAAAGCTGCAAAAACTGAACCTTAAACCTTTTTTCTTATCTAGGTTCAATCTGCACCAAAGGACACAGAATTTCATCAGGATGTAGAGTGCTTCTGGAACATGCAAGCCGTACAATCATCAAAAATAAATGGTTGGCCCAACTTGCACTGGTGCTGCATTGCTAGATAGAGTACTGGTGTTCTTTGGGTAAAAAATGCTGCTAGGATGAGAGATGACCAGAAATGGCATAGCTGGATATTGCTGGTTGCGTTCAATCTGGGTACGGGCAGTGAGGATGAGACAAAAGCCAGTACCTTGTGGATCAAGTAGTTTTGAATGATACAAAGAATTCCATTTGAATGACAGCTTTAGAGGTGAAAAATTCACTCTACTGCAAGGAAAATGGGGGCATTATGGTTCTTTTCTTTGATGCAATCAAGTCATACACCTAGACATGAACCACTGACTAAAAGCTTATCTATTTTCGATACCAGCTTTTCATTTGAAGTGATATTCGGTTGGAATACTATCATATATGATGATTCCCATAACAGCATGTTTTGTTTCAGGGATTCGGGGAGCCTTCAGTATGTGTGGAGTTTTGGTCCTTTTTGGTTTCTATCCTTTTTGCTAATTGTTCTTCAACAAAACTCTTGCTTTTTATATAAAATTAAAAATAACAAAATAAAATTTCTTCTTAAAAAGAAGAAATTCCTTTTCTGAAAAGGTAAGTGAAAGTTCATCTGAGTAAAACCTGTGCAAGTCCTGGCTGTAGAGCACACTGAATCATCAAGCGTCCAATCACATCATGTGCAACAACTGTTTCAATGAGCTCCCCTCCAACAAGCTTCACTAGAGGTTCATTGTCAAGGTCGCTCATCTCTACAACAACATGACCCTTCAAACCCTCTTTAACTCCTGTTAAGCTGAGAACAACCCTTAAGGCACGCGCATCACTCTGGTAACAACAAAATACAGAAGTATTTTTAATTTTTGCAGAGAAGCATACAAGTCACGAAATTGAGAAAGAAAAGAACCTGATCTGCATTCTCATCAGATGCTAATACAATGATAGCACGTGCCTTTGATACTGAAACCTAAGAATACGAAAATGCAAAAATTAATCAACAACAAAAAAACTTCCAAAAGGGAAAAACAATAGCAAAAATTACTCAAACATACTTTCTTTAAGTCAGCAAGGATAAGAGGACTACCACTTCTGCATATAACAGAAGTGCCCATAAAGTCAAATTCAAGCTTTGCTATATCCATCTCCATTTCTTCCTTGTCTCTCTCTGCTAGTACAACTATAACACCGCCACCAATACTCTTGTTTGCTATTGCTAGCTGCTTCAAAAGTGAGCCCTACAACCAAAACATCTTTAGTCTTAAAATGTGTTTACACTATCATCATAAGATTTACATGGCCATAAGAAGAGTTCAAAGAACACCTTAGCTTGCACAGTCATCATAAGATTTACATGCCTCATTTTGTGGCTGGAAGGGAAACATCAATACAGACAGAAACCTTCTAAGGCATCGAACAGATACAGAAGCAAACATAAGATAATAAAGAACCCAAAGCAACAACCTCCTTTAACTTCTTATCAAGCACTGAGATAAACTACAGCCAAATTGGTATTTAAGAACCAAGAATTTTTATATAAAAAACAGGACATAGCAGTCCTATTCATATGTTCTAACTAACTTGAACAACCAAAACCATGTTTAGTTACTTCCTATTGAAAAAAAACATAAAAAGCCACGTCTAGTTCCTTGGACAGCTAAGTATGTGCTTTTCACAGCCTCTTGATTTATACAAAAAGTCAAATTAGTTACTAAAAATGAAAATGCAATGGAAACAGTGAATGATAGTTCAAAGTAACTTGTATGAATTACCAATTTGTCACTCCATCCAAGAATTAGTATATGGTTCTTTTCAATTACTTCGCTCTTTCCTTTCCGCAGCGAATCTACCTTTTCTGAGATAGCATCCGAGACAAGTCCAAGCATCATGGCAAATATAAGCATGCCTCCTGAACTTATAGAGACAGAAACAATTCTTGGCCCAGTGCCAACCCTATCAGCATGATTTCCTGAATCAGCTACGAATGTCCATGAAAGCCAAAGAGCTTCGGCCAAGCTACCATCACTGACAGCATACAGTGCTAACCCACCAAATCCTATAAGAAAGATGGTCGCAAAGAGCAGTGCAAGGAGCTTTGCATAAGGATAACCAGAGAAGCAGACGTCCACCATATATGCAACTCTCTTCTTCAGGGGAGCCTCCTCATTGTTATTCGTTGTTCTTTTCGAGAGTGTCTTTATTTGGGGAAAATAATCAAGATATTTGTGCACCACAAATGGCATGATGAGTGTGAATACCACAGTGTACAAAGCAACAGTTCTACTGTCAGCATTTCCGAAATAAAATGAACTATAATCTTCAGCCTGCAAAACTTCGATGCTGTCATTATCAACACCACCTTTATCGCTACACACTGTACGGAGGCTAATATTCTCTTCCTGCAAGTAAAAGAGCCATATTTACGAACAGATGAGCAGAAATTACATAAACCTGTTTTCTAAAGTTTTGCCTTTCCTTTTCCATTTCAGCAACGGAGCAAGTATATTGTTCCAAATTGTTTCAAACAACACCAGATTTCACAGAGGAACCAATAACTCAACCTGTCAAAAGATGTACATAAAACATACCTCTAGTTTCGCAACTTCATTCTTCAAGTAAATTGAATAACACACCGATAATATACAAGTGAAATTAAGCTGCAATAAAAGATTAGCAACAAAGTTATCAGTAATGCTTTATCAAAACAAAGAGAGCTAACCCAAAAAGGAACTGCAATTCGGTACTTAAGCCAAAAATAGAAAGAAAGTGGAAAAATTAGTGCTCTCTAGACTATAGCTATTTGGTTGCCTGAAAAAAAAAAGTAAAGTAATGAAAGAAAGAAATTAACAGAAACATTTCCACTAATTTCCATTTTAGGAAATTAACCACAAAAATACTGTACAAGAATGGGGAGGCAGTAATTACCAAATAAAAGATGAAAGAAGAATTGAATCCTCGACTTCTGTTGACACCTGACTGATTCACCGAAACTTGAGTGGCAGTAGCAGCCGTTGTCACTTCCCTAATATTATTCTCTACCTTCAACAATTTCTCCTCTTTCACTTTCCCCTTATCAGTGTCACTAGTAGTCATACAAGAAGCCGCCGCCCCAGTACTGTTATGCTTCTCCTCCGCCGCCACCTTGTTATTACCACGGCGACCCTTCACCGTGACCCGATTCCTAGCCACGTGGGGCCCAAGAAAAGAGGGATACATCCAGTCCCTGTCCACCGAGAAGCTTGAATTATCATTATTAATATTACTACTACTAATACCAATGCTAATAGGAGCACCGTTAGCATTGTTGTTGTTAAAGTTATTGTTTGAGGAGACTGAATCTTTGGAGGGACGGAGATCGGACGATGGAGGGTGGAGGAGGTGGTGGTGAGTGGATGTTGGTATTAGTGGAGGAGCAGCAGTTCGGCGAACAGCAGGAAATAGTGGGCCAGGGAAGTGGGTGTCATCTGATATTGATGATGATGTGATTTTGGTTTTCTTGAGAAGTGGTCTTTCTGATTCCTTTTTCGTGTCATCATTTGGTGGTGGTGCTGGTTGGGAGACTGAGTCTTTCTTTGAGTCTGCCATTGATCCTTGCAAACCTCCTTCAAATCTATACAGTCGGATGAAGAAAATAATGGGAGATGAGAGTTTTGAATCTAGCCACTACCGATGCTATACAGCAGAGAGATCTAAACAGCTAAAAGTGTTCATTTTTTCAATTTATGATTTTCATAGCTGAAAGATTCACTGTCCTTTCTTTCCTTATTCTTTTTTTTTTTTTTTTTTTTTTCTTCTAGAAGTTTATTACATCTTGCGCCGCATAACCATTGCCTTTCTCATTTGCCGGTGGAAATAGCTTTCTTTTTTCGTCTTCTTTTTACTGAAGAGCAAGCTCAGAGGATGAGCAATCTTCCCTAATTGTTTTTCTTTTTTTCCACAAAAAAACCGAATTACCTGACTTAAATTCTCAGGGGATGGGTAATTCCGATAATCATTAGAGTGGTGTAATATAAATTTTATTTATTAATTTTAAGCTGTAATTTTCCTTTGGCTAATTTTTTTTTTAAATACTTAGGGTAAAAAATAACAATAATCAAGTAATTAGTTACTGACTCAAAAGGCCTTATTTTCATCCAAATTACTTATTTGCTCACTCCTAATGCGAATACTATAAAGTTTATTATCGAATTCACTTCTCAAAAAATTTCGACCCTTAGATTTGTAAGATTCGTAAATAAGATCCATTCAATGCATGAGATTTTTGAAAAATCATACTTGGTGAGATTAACATACTCTTATGTATAATTTTTATTTGAGGATAAATTGTTTTTTTTTTCAGGTATTTTTATCTCATGTTAGAAATAAAATTAATCTTATTTGAGATATGAACAATAAGATTTAATCCTTACGATATTAATATTTGAATCTTGTATATTGACAGAAAATTTATTTAAAAATAAACTCGTTTGTTGTTAGGCTTACAACTTGTCGGTGATAAATTACTCTTTCAAAGTAAGCTTTTACGATGCTAAATTAAGAAACATGGTCTTGTATAAAATAGAAGCGATAAACAATCAAACCACATAACATTGTGTGTAAAAACTCTATCAAATTCTTTAAAACTTGAATATTTTTTTTCGAATATATCATATTCATATATAAAACTTGATTTTGAATAACGTGTAAATTAATTTAAAAATATTTATAACCATTCAATATAAAAATTGCTAAAAGGGGATATTTATTGATTATGCTAAGAGAACATCGCAGTAATATTTGACATAAATTTGAAAGTGTTAGATTCTTAAAAGCTTAGTTGGATGGTAAGTGATTTAATCTTCTTATTATTTTATTTAGGTTTGAATATGAGGAGAAAGGGGAAATGGAATTCTATGAATCCATCATGGGTTTGGTTCCAATTGGACTGAAAAAAAGCAATTGGCATTAAAAGTTCTGAATCGTCCCTAGATTTGGAGAATTAACTATGATCAGCTCCTCTAATTTGAAGAAATAATCAATTTATCCTTGTAGTTTAGAAAATATATATTTAATTTTCATTTTCAAAATAATTTATAATTCAGTCCTTTCATTAAATTTCATATTCTTTTCCAATTTATTTTATAGACAGGTTTAGAAAAAAACTTCGTTTCCTAAATTATTTTATTTGACTTTTAATACAAATTAAGAAATTTATCAGTATTGTTATGTGTTATTTGCATTTTTGTTCATAATTTTTTTTTTAGATTATTAGTCATTAAAACAGACTTTAATCGGAGAGTTTTTAGAAAAAAAATATCATTTTAAATTTTAATTATATAACTATTTTAAGACATATATAAATAGAAAGATAAATAATTTCTTTAAGACAAAAAAATATCAAAGAGCTTGTAGCTCAATAGTAATAGTTTCTTGCAATGTGAGGTTATGGATTCAAGTTCTGGAAGACTAGTTCTCTTGCAAGTTTTATTGTGAGTTTAATATATATATATATATATATATATATATATATATATATATATATATATATATATATATATTAAAAAATATATATATATATTATAAAATAGGGATTGACTAGTTAGTTTTAATGAAATATAAGGACTGAGTTACAAGTAATAGTACAACAGGTGATGTTGGCCGTACGCTGATTGATCGTGGTATGTAAAGTGGGATCCACGTCATCAAAGAAAAGACAGAGACAAGATAAAACACAGCATTGCAGAAACTTCCAGCGTGGACATGCTTTTTCTTATCTCGATTTTGATTGGCTATGAACACACAGTTGCAAACTTGCACGTAATGTCATGGCGGTTCTTTCATTTGTTTTCAGTTTTTCAGCAAATTACTTTTCAGGGTTTATATATATATATATATATTTGAATAAGTTTTCATGCTAACTATTTTTTAAATTAAATTAACATCATATTGCGTCTAATCTATATAAAATTTTAAAAATAAAAATCGAATTTCTAACTTGATGAATTAAAAATATTTTTTTATCACTTCATCTATAATTTGAGTAAATTATAAATTAGTTCTTCTTGTTTCGGTAAATAAATTAATTAGTTCATCTCATTTCAAAAAATAATTATTCAGTTTTATGTTTAAAAATTTACTTATAATTTTTTTCTCAATTTTTATTTATTTTGAATTTTTTAAAAAATAAAAAAATATGAAAAAATTGATGAAAAAATAAAAGATTTTATAGAATAAAAATAATTTTAAATTAAATATGTTCAATACTTGTTAAAGTAATAATAATAATTTTTTAAATGAGAGGAATTAATTAATTTATTTTTTGAAATTATAGAGACTGATTTATAATTTACTCTTTAAAGTTTAATTTCATTTCATTTTTCTGAACTAAATTACCATGAGATCATCTCTAAGAAATCTTGCCTTTCTTAGGCCATTGATAGCCTAATCAAATGCTATGCAAAAGATAAAGATAAGAGCTTTTTAAAGATAAAATCGAATTTTTAACTTACGAATCAAAAATATATTTTTTTATCACTTTGTCTATGGCTTTCGGTGACCTCTTCAAGTTTATTTTCATTTTTCTTTTATCATGTGTGCATTTAGGGATGGTAATTCAAACCGTCCCAGCCTGTTCCATTTGGAGTGGGTACGAGATGCGAAATTTTGCCCTGAACAAAGCACGGGATGGGAATGGTTTTTTTTTTTAAGGGTTGGGCAGAGAGAGTTATCCCCACCCTGCCTATTATTTTATCTTTAAAAAAAATAATTTGACGAGCTCCACCCTGGTTGGGATGGGTATAAGGAAGGAAATTTCGCTCTGAACGAAACATGAGGCGACGAATGTATATTTTTTCAGGAACGGGGCAGGGATGAGTATGACGATCCCCGCTCTACCCGTCACATTGCCATCCCTATGTGCATTCCAAGAGAGGGCTAGGAAATTTTGAAGTAGGTTAATATTTAACTGTTGAACTAGCGATCCAGTTCCTTGGACAGTTCGATGTCTGGTTCGAATTTCGACACCGTTCTGCTAAATAGTCAAAAGTTTTAACTCTGAGGTATATATATATGCATGTCTGGTTCGAGAGTTGAGAGAGTTTGGCACGAACGAAATTTCGGAGCAATTTCGATCTATGCTGTCCCGCAGTAGATATGACTGCCTTAAATCGGTAAAATACGGTCATGTTTTTGTTTGTTGGACATTACCAGACACGAAACTGCAGAATTTTATTGGTTACGAAACTTCCGAATAATTCTTGGTCTCCCCAAACAATAAACTAAAAAACTTAGTACTTTCCAAATTGGGGTTTCGAATAATTTTTCAAATTGGTATTTTTAAAGGGTAAAATATTATTTCTTTCAGTTCTGCAAACGTGTGTCTAAAGGCAATTGTTAATAAGTATTAAAACTCTCCACTATCACACTTTAAAAGTAAAAGTTAATTTCTCTAATGATTTTATTCCATGGTTAAACAGACAAGTTAATTTTTCTAATGTATAATATACCCTTTTAAGAACATATATTTAATCAAACATTCTCTTAAAAAATCCTTTGCCTTCATTTTTTTTTTTTTTTGGTAAATCGACAAAAGAAGCAAATCTCTCTCTCCTCTCTCTTTTTCAATGCTCAATCTATAATATGTAGTCAAAGAATTACGTTCAAAACGACGCCATTTCGATGCAGCAAATATGAAGAATGAGGAATTACAGAGCAAACCCATCCATTTCAACGCCATTTCTCTCTCTCTCTCTCTAGCTCATGCTCTTGTAAATGTCACATAAAGCAATTAATAATTTATAAGCATCTAATGGCGAAAAAGAATTAAAAAAAATACATGTTTTTTTTAATCGTAAATTTTACGAGGTTTTAAAAATACAGTAAATTGATATATCTTCCTTGCATGTAAAAATTAAATGTCAAAGTATATCGAAAAGAATACACACCACATCACGCAACTTTTCATTCTCCCATATTATTATTTATAATATACATACAATCAATCCGGTAATTATTTATTAATTAATTCCCAAGTCAAGCACATGCAAGAACTTCGAAAAAACAGTTTTTATCTCAAATGCTTACGCACATCATCATATTAAAAAAAAAAAAAAAAAAAAGGGAAGAGGTGAAGACATATATTTCAAACTTCAAAAAACTCTAATGGAGAAAGAAAAATAGAATTAAAATGTTTAATGAATGATTAAAGGCTTCATTTTCACTTCCATCAATCTTGGGACTGTGGATTACTGTCCTTTGAATCAGCGGGATCAATATATCTCCAGATGAAGCCCAGACTACTGCCCATGATATTCATAATCACAGCAGACATAGCTGGGGGTAACGCAACCATTGGTGAAGTGAAGTGTGATGCTGCTAAAACCACACCTAAGGAAGAGTTTTGCATTCCAACCTGTGATGTGTTGCCCCCAGACAAAAAAAATAAAAATAAAAATAATATAATGTAGTCAATGATGATTGATGGATCAACTGATGACTGAAAATTCAAGAAAAGAAATCTTTGAAAGTTTTCACCTTCTTTCGAGATGGTAGTAAAGGACTGATATAATCATACCTCAATCGATATTGCTCGCCGTTGTGGCTCTTTGAACCCACCAATTGCTGCTGATATATACCTACAGATAACAATAGTTTTAAATACATAACTCCAATGCATGGATGAATGGATGAATCAAATTTACAGGACAGAAATGCAAGAAAGTTGTCTGCTCTGTAAAAATGACTCTGAAATGGGCAAATTGTTGTTATTTTGACTACAAGGCACTCACCAAAAACAGCATATGCAGACTCATTTGAAAGTTAAACAGAGTAAGCATAGAGGCAAAAGGTTAAATTCTAAAACATCCTGAAACAAAATTTTCTAATCTATAAAAGATGATAATTGCAATGTAAGGTATTAGCTAGAAATTCCCATCTTCCACCCCTTGTGGCTAGCTCAAATGTTAAAGGTGTGGTGCTTGGGCAAAGATCCTAGGTTTGAGCTGAAGTGCCCTCCATTATGTACCATGTAAAGAAAATTTTGTATCTAGAAGGCTGAATTTATCTCTAGCTTATTGAATGGTGATTCAAATACATGAATCTTGACTGCATTTTAGTCAGCAGAAAATCATCGGAGCGTTCCTTTTCTTGTTTTCTTTTTCAACTGTTTCAAAATAGATAAGGTTGATTAAGCATATGTGGATTCAAGAAATCATATGCCAGCAAAAAGAAAGAACTTAGCGGTAGCCCTATAGTTGATTGGAGTGGTGGCAATTCCCCTTGTTGGGGTACTTCAACTTGGGGGAATATTATTGATTTGGCTAAAAAGTGTATTCAGATTAAAATGCCCTTATTCCAGAGATATTCTGTTCATATAAACTTGCAGGAAAAGATATTTTCCATTGCCATAATTATACCAATGCATTAATCAAGATTGGACAAAGGGAATATGCATGTAAATTTATCTATCTTACATAAATTGTTGAGACATTATGAAAATGGTAAGAGAGGTAAGATGCATATTTGATAGTCAAAGCTGAAGGCAAGCATTGAAGAATTGTCATGATTACGGATAGAAACGAAGAGCAATTCATACCCAACAAAGAAGCCAGCAAAATGTAACAACAGCACAGCAAGTATTATAGCACCCAGTTCTCCGGAGAATATTGACTGAATGCGAAGAATTAGAGAGGCATCAGATGGTAATGATGAAGCAAGCATTGAGGATTTAAGGCGAACAACATTTTCTGAGAACACACTGCAGTAAAGACCAGAAAAGACAAAAATAAGAGAAAAGTGGATGCAGAAGCACCAATGTCACGTAATAAACCAAGCAGCACAACAAGAACCTGCAAGCAAGCAGTGATGATGCTAAAACAGCAAACAGTGGCGCAAAAGGCGTGACAGTTTTCACAGCTGCAGGAAATGTGCCCTGCATATATGAACCTAGCAGAATAGGAGCGACAACCACCTGGATAAGAATTAACAACGACTACAATATAAGTAAATCAATATTTTGACGTGTGATGGCATCTAACTTGTCGGTAAGCACGAATTTGAATTTACCTGCAGAGTGCTGAGAGAAAGACCAAAGGCATCCACAGGAACATAAGTTCCTGCCAAAATCATTGTCAGAATTGGAGTGAGAAGTACTGCACCAAGAGTGGTGCACACTGTCATTACAATAGATAGTGGAACATCCCCTTGAGCAATTAATGTCACCTGTAACACTACTTCAGGAAAAATAAATAGACATCTCATCAATTTTCCACAGCATTTGGATACTCCCTAATATACCAATTAATTCAGTTGATATAGAGAAAAGGAAACAAAATTCTCAATTATCTCAAGGCCAGGATGCCAGTTTTGATGGATAATCCATAAACTGTGTCAGACTTGTAACACATAAGAACAACATAAACTAGTTCACAATGTTAGCACTGACATTTTCATACCTTTTCTTTTCTGTGGGAAGAGAGAAGGCAGGCAATGGTAATTAGTAATGAACACAACACTGTTGGAACCTTGACAAGACACAGAGTGCAAGACAAGATAACCATGAAAGATCAGTCAATCACAGATAGTTAAAGATGCATGGCTAAACAGTCCTGAGATGGGTAAGTTAGTAAAGAATATATGTTCACTCATAATCTACAACTGCAAAATAACTCTTGGACACAGCTGGACATGAGCATTGCACATTCTAGTGCCCAAAAAAATTTTCAGTCTGGGAAGTACTCTAGCAAAGATGAGGATAAAGAACCGAGAACATATAGTTAGTAACTAGATCATCAGATTACAATTCACAATAAAAAGGTCAATGAGAAGTTTAGACCTCTATCTCCTTGTACAAATACTACTCAGTATCAGAAGGTCATATGCACATTTCCAACCAGCAAAAGAAAGAGGCAGAAAGTTCTTAGTAAATGTACATTCTAATATCAACTATCATAACTACTATTAATCAGAGAAGAAACTGGAAAAAGACCATTAATAAGATTAGTAGATTGGAAATGCACATGTTTTTATGTAGTTCAGATATTAAATTTCTGTGAAATATGCTTCCAGAGTGTTCACGATAAGTAGCATTCTAGAAAAAGAAAATAGAAAAAGTGTTCTTACCACATTAGAGGCGGTACCTCCAGGGCAACAACCGAGCAATATCAAACCAACTGAAAAAGAAGGTTGAAGCCCCAATGCTTTACTAACAATCAGTGAAAAAGCTGGCATGATTGTATATTGAGTAGCACATCCAAATAGTATCTGAACAAAGACGGCAAACAAGACGCTTAGGGGAACCTCCTATCAAGTGCTTTCCTCCACTAAAACTTCAACCATTTCATAAAACAATCCATTGAACTAAAAGTTGTGATTCCCTCAAGTATTCCAATTCAAAAAACAAATTAGCACCCAAGAATCTGATCTTAAACAATCATAGCGAATACGAATACATGCATGGCGTCGCACAATACATAATTGGGTAAATAACCATTTTCTGCAGAATCTGTATTTCTTTGTAGCACCTTGTTTAAATTAACAGACTATAAGCACCAAGTTGCTCCTCTATTCATTGCAGAGGTTTTATAAATCCACAATGCATTGCTCATGATGAGCTAAAAAAAAAAAAAAAATCAAAATGTCAGCATAACCCAGAGAACCAAAAATTCAATTTAGACTCGCAGGGCTTTGGAAACCACATGATTGTCCATCCAACTAACTGTTAACTGAATTCTATTATAAATTTTCTTAAAAATCACCCGAGGTTTCAAAATGAAGTCAACATTCATATCTTGATTTCCAGTAAAGAACACGAATTAATATCACTTCAAGAAATCAATATATTAACCAAAAAATAAATAAATAAATAAATAAAACCTCACAGATAGAGGCCTCTGCATAAACAAGGCAATCAAGTCTTTGAGCTCCAAAGTAAGACCCATAGCCAACATGATGAATCCAAGAGACAGACTATATGAAGTTGGACCTCGCTTGACAAACCAAGCAAAAGCAGACGGGTTGAAGCAAGCAAGAATCCCACCTGCAGTGACATAGAGAGGATACAGGCTTGCTGCAGTGGACAACACATTTTGCCAATCCCAAGTGGGTTTTGCTGGAGTCACAGGGAGGTGTCCTCCAGATTCCTCGTTTACAGAACTGACTCTTAATGTGGGCAGGTTTCTGAATTTTGGCGGTGAATAACACATGTTGAGCTTTTTGGGGTTAGTGAGAGTGACCTTGAGGTGGGTTTTATTCAGCAGAGGAGGCCGTGTAGTGACAAGAAAGAGAGAGACAGACATGATGATTTTGGTATTTCGATCCTGGGACAGACAGTGAGACTGTGTTTGAGACTACTACAGTACTACTGTTTTTAGTTGCAACTTCTTTTCAGATTTTTCAGGCTTCACCTCGATTGGTTAAATGGAAGGGAATCTTGATGGTCGTCGGTAGTTATTTTGGATTTGATGATCCAGATTATATCCACATGAAATCAACTCCGAAAATTTGTTCCCTCTTCTGATTTCTGACTTCAAGTTTGGGAGGCCAAGATCTGGTTAGGCTGATTTGGGCCACTGAAAAGTTGTATTGTTGGGTCCAGGACCGTGGGCCAAGCAAACAGTGCCGTTCGAGTCAAAATGTTTTACCCAGGTCCTGCTTCTGTTTGCCTTGGTCATCGTTCTATATATATATATAATTCACAAAAACACCAATGTTGTATATATTTTATTTTAATATATAATTTTTACCATATATAGATTACAAGTGTGATGTTTTGATTCTTAATAAAAATCTTGTAGTGCTTGTATTGTTTATATATACTGCTCATTATTTTTATTTTTATTTTGACGATGATAGTATTTTATGTTTTCAAGTAATTTATTTTAATTTCTTAATAAAAATCCTGAAGCTATGTTCTAAATGATAATTTTAAATCAAATTAATAACACGTCAATAGATTACCAGACATTTAAACGATTTTACTCGCAATACAACTTACATATAATTTTATTACCAAACTGTTTAATGTGTTTGATCTTACGTCACAACACAATAAAAAGCAAACAAGCTCTACATAGTATTGGGAAGGTGGTACCATAATAGTTAGCTTTCATGAAACATGCCATGCGCAATCCTAGCTGTGATATAGGCGGTTAGCTTTGAGTTCAATTATTGGACGCTAATTGGTAGATATCGCGACACCTCGATCGTTACGTGCACACCTTATTAAGGTTGGAAAATGCAAATATATAACCACAAAACATACTGCTGGATTGGATGGCCAATAAGATTTATATTTAATTGCAAACGATGGGATATCCCTATTACGGAGTAAATTATGAACTAATCTTTTTACTTTTAAAAAATAAAACAAAATAATACTTTTAGTTTTAATAACTTTAATAAAACAAATATTTTTTTAAAAATAATATTAAATTAATTACAGATGATAAATGAATTATTTTTAATATAAGAAGCATTATTTATTTTTTTTTCAAAACTTGGCGGTCTAATTTACAATTTACTTTCCCGTTGCGATATATGCATATATTATTATTGTTATTTTTTTTTCGTCAAATTATATGTGAATGCATTGCTTCCAAGGAATTATTTTCCTTGCTTATATATATACAAACCTTATTATTATTATTATTATTATTATTATTGTCAAATTATATGTATGTGAATGTATTGCTTTCAAGGAATCATTTTCCTTGCTTATACGCAAACCTTAGTCCAGTGAATAAACAAATCTCCAACAAATTAAAGCCAATTATTCTTCTGATAGTTTCTTTTTGCACAACCAGGCATTATCTAATTAAATATTTTCAATCAAAGTCCTCGCAGCCACGTTTCCAGATCATCACCACAAACTAGGCGCACACACACATATAGGAGTAAATTATAAATTAGTCCCTCAAGTATTAAGAAACGAACTAATTTTTTTTTTCAAAAATTAATTATTTAATTCATTTTATGTTCTTGTTTAATTTATTTTCTTTTTATTTAAAAATAAAAAATAGATAGATATTATGAAAAAATAATAATAAAAAAAGATAATTTTTAGATAAAATAATATTAAATTAAACATCATCAATACTGATCGGGTGACTAATTAATTAGCTTTTGAGATAAAAAAAATTAATTAATTTGTTTCTCAAAACTACTTAATTTATAATTAACTCACACGCATATATATATAGTCTCATGACGCTAATAACACAGTATTGCTAATTTTCTTATAACTGTGGAACAAAGAATATTAATTATGCTATTAATTACACAAGAAGCATATAATTAAATTAATTCCCAAGTTACATATGGACTATATATGTTTTTTTGTGAATAATCTGATCATCTTTTTTAGAATTTCTCCAATTTCTAGGTAAGGAAATAGTACATCAAGGGGAAATGAATGTTCAACAACACTAACTATTTTTGAATTTTTAAAAGAATAATAATTAAAAAGAAAAAAGAAAAAAGAAAGAAAAATTACTAAGTTTTGCCTGGTGTAACAGGGTAGCCGATGCCATGCCTTCTGGTAGGGAAAACCACAAACAACAAGCTGGAGATGAGACCAATCCCAACTGGGCCAATATTCAAAACCTCTTGAGTCTCCTGCTTGGGCATGGCATAAAAGCAACTCACGACATTCTTATCCCTCAAAGCCACAGAAACAAACACAAGCACTGATAGAACAGCATGAACCACATCGATGAACCTCATCTTGAACTTGCTCAAATCGGGCAAGCCTGAACCAACAGGATCAGGGCAGTCAAACAGATACATCCCTTTAAAAGTTGCAAAACCATAGTAAACTCCTCCATCCGTTGGGGACTTGATACTATCCGTGAAGGAAGCAAGAAAGCAAGAAAGAGCAAGGACAGCAAGGAGGATTAAAGTCATAGGGCGTGTGGCAGAATCACAGGCACCATTGTTGGTAAAGAATGGGGTGAGAAGCTGGAAGGCTAAGAGGGTGCCTGTAGGAAGGAGGTTGGCTAGGTTTGCTGTGCTTGTTAGGGTTTGCGAGATTGCACGTTGAGAGAAAGTGGGCGGTCTTGATGGGGATTTTGGAGTTTCAGGCTCATTGTTATCGTTGCTGGCACTGGTCGAGCTTGAACTCTGGGTAGATACCTCAGGTATGGATAGTTGCTTGGACGAGGGTGTGGCTCTAGGTCTAAGAGACATATTGCTGGGTTTTCTGGGTGTAGCTAGCTAGCTAGGAAGATCAAAGATCGAACTTTTGTTATGTTGATGGGTCAAGTTCTACGAGAGATGGTGAGGATAGAGCAGATCAAAGATATATATCTAGTTTGAAGGATTTTGAAGAAGGTTGAAGTCAATTATGTGTATATATATAAATAAATATGGGGATTAGATAATAACTAACTATATATTAATCAATTACTTGTACAGAAAGAAAGGTGTTTCCATGGAATTTCCTGTTAGGTTAAAGCTTTTTGATGACTTCAACTTAATGACCATGTCGTTTTCATGGAAAATTCTACAGATGCACATTCTAGTCCCAATTTGTATGCGTGACGTTAAGATAGCTAGGTGGAGTCTTTAATTATAATCGTCCACATGCTATATTTATAGATACAGAACGTCAATGTCCTGAGCTAGCATTTGACATTGTCGTCATTTTGGTTTTCTGAGTTTTTGCATTTTCCATACCTTCTGGGAACAATATAAGGAAAAGGTAATGTTACTGAATTCCTAGGGTTTGCTTGTATATCACGGTATTGTTTTCTAGGTTTTGCTTGTATATCATGGTATTGTTTGTGTTTGAAATGAGGAATGTCATAGGAATACTTCAGCTCAGTATTGCAAATAAAACAATACTAATTAAGATTATATGAGCGGTCTGAATTACAACCATTCAATCATTAATTTTAATTTAAAAATTATGATTTTTTAATTACTAATGAAGAATTACATTTATAAATTAGAATTGATGAAAATCTAATAAAAACACTCAATTTCACAAAAAAATATATATATATATATATTAGAAAAAGATCTAATTTGCAATTGAATGTTGAAGAATCGATTTTGAATCATGATTCAAAATCGAAGAAAGATTTAGACTATTTAACCTAAAGTTTAAAGATGAAAACCTAATTTATCTCAAGTTTCAAAGGCTCAAAACTGCCAAAATAGTCTACGTTCACTCTTTTTATCCCTAACATTTATATGAATTCGATATGCCATTTCTTCTATCTCCATTCTCTTTGTTGCCCGCTCTCTTCTCTATCATCTCTCAATCATCTACTCATCTAGCAGACTAGCACTGTTACCTTTTATTTTTATTTTCACTACTCCTCTCTGCCACCACCTCCTTCACCAACACCAACTACTATTGGATAAACTTAAATTAATGACACATATATGAATTAATTTTGATTTATTAAAGAATGATGCTATTTTTAATAGTGTTTTGATTGGATTTTTTTAAAAAAAAACATGTTTGATTGTTTGTGCAAGTGACATGCTTTGAATCATGGATTCGAGTGTGTACGTACTAATTAAGTTCATTAATTATATAAAATTTGACTTTTTTTTTTTTTATAACTTACCACTTGATGATCAAGTAGCTGCTCTTATTTTGAGGCGATAACATGCCTGTTTATACATAATTAAAAATGACAACTGAGTTTTGAAAATCTGGGCGATAACATGCTAGACCTTTCTGTACAAGTAATTGATTAATAGTTAGTTTTGAAAATCTTATTTTTGATAACTTACCACTAGATGATCAAGTGCTAGACCTTCTTAACTGGAAAATTAAAGTTTGGAGCTTTGTGGGGTGCTGGAAAAACCAGTATCAAAAGAATTCTTTTTCTTCTCAATTTTATGTTCTTTTGCGGTTTAGAAATGAACCCACTAATCTAATGAGAATATTCTCCGTTTTGGGTTCCTTTTGGTAGTCCTAAATTCACTTCTTTCTCTTGATTTTGTAAATTTCTTGGTCCATTATGATACTCATTTTAAAGCAGGCTAACATGGATAATCTTCTGTGGTAGAAGGAAAAAATAGGGAATGGCAACGACGAAGAAGCGTGGATACAAAAAGCCTGTGAAATGAAAAGGAAGAAGAAAAAGAAAAGGAAGAACACACAGTAGCGTATGACCGTGAAGAAGTGTTCTTAAACTTTGTTGATCAAAATGCTAGACAAATCCATGGATTTAGTAGTGAATCTAGCAGTGATGCAGGGTTTGGTGCATTTGATTCTGAGTCAGACTCAGAGTCTAGTTCGTCATCGTTCTTTGAGTGGGAGAGGTGGGCCATTTTGTGTTGGAGGTATTAGCAGCAGCAGTAGTTGTTCTGATGATGAACCAGCATTTGACAAGGGAATGCAGAAATCAGCTAAAAATTAAGCGTGGTCGGCCTTCATATGTAAAACTTTTGAGAACTTATACGTGTAAATTCACATGGCTCCTTAGAGCTTCCAAAAAAAATTTAAGATAATTCGAGCTTATATTTTATTTTTATAATTTATTGAATTTTAGTCCAGAAAAAAAAAACCTCCAAATTCAAAAAATTTTGAAATTATTTGTGAAAACCTCCAAATTATTTGTGCAAAATATCCAATTTCATACACTGTTTCCATTTCTGAAAATCTAAATTAAGTAAAATAGATATGTGCTTGAAAAATTAAATATACCACAGAAAAAAACTGAAGGGTTGGTAAGCATTGAAGCATTAATGCAGCTTTATTATCAAAATAAAAAATAAAAAATTCAAAAGTTGCTTGAAATAAAACGAGCGTTGAAAGGGGTCTTGGGATGGGTTAGCTTGGTATTAGATTTTTATTTTTATTTTCTTTTTCATGAAACATCTTAGCAAGATATATGTAATATATATTTTAAACAAAAATAATTAACAACAAAAATTATTAAAAGAGATATTTATTTAGATTCTTTTATTTAAAAAAAAAACTTCTTTCAATTGCTCTCCTCAACACCCGACTAATTAATTATTTATTGATGTAATTGGTCATAGGACGCCTCACAACCTTCTTGAGAATTACTCATGTTTGCCCTCTTGAGAAATTGATTTGCTTTCAAATTTGAGCTTAAAATCAAAAGAGAAAAAAAAAAAGGCCATTTTTTTCAATGCTCATACTGAGGCTCAATCCTTTTTTATTTTTATTTTTCTGGCTTCAAATCATGGAAATTTTGTAGAATTTGTTTTTTGGAAACATATTAATGCCAAACATTAAGCCCAAATGCGGTGAATGTTTCTACTTTTAAGACCAAAATACCATGAAATCTCTAAATCATTTACATGTAGTAATTAATGCCCAGTAGATTACTTTTTAGAAAAATGGCAACTACAAAAAAAGCTTTTTTTTTTTTTAATTTATAGATAGTAGGGTATTTTTTTAGTCAATTTTTATATGAATCAAAACTACACTCATCGCGTCTAGATCTATCAATATCTAAATTAAACCAATGTCAGAACATATCTAATTTTTGATTGATCAATAAATTATTTTTTAGATCAAATTAACTCAAATATGATATAATTAAAAAATAATTAAAATTAATTATTCATACATAATGAGAATTGAATTTTAATTTTAATCAAGTTAAAACAAACACTGTTATTTGTTAGATCACATTTCTTGATGGTTAAAGAAAACTTCTAAAAAAGAGAAGTGAAAAAAAATTAATTTGATTATCTTATACCAAAAAAGAAATTTAGCAAAAAAAAAAAAAAAAAAATCTGTAAAAGGTAAGTACAGGGAAAAAAAAGATATAAGTTAATAAATAACTATAAATTTGAGGGAGTGAGTAGTAAAAATAGTGTCTCTGTTCTGGCTTTTAACAAAAGTGACAATTATCTTGTCACTGCAAACTGTGAAAGCAAAACCGCTGCCAGTGAAGCTGTTCGCTAATCTCTCATCACTTTTAGCGACAGACAGACAGACAGACCCAGGCTATGTTTTTCCGTTTCCAAACCTTAAATAAAATCCTATAATTCTTTAGACCCTAAAGACGCGCCATTCTCAGACCAAACTAGGTAACGTTTTTCTCTCTTTTTGTTCTTCTTTAGAGATGATTGGATCTTGTAGAACAAGCAGCTAAAAATTTGATCTATTTTAGCTTCAATTTTGTACCCTTTTACTGCTGAATGTTTAAGCTCTTTTCTTTTGGGTTTCCGTTTTTTATTGTTCTCGTGTAAAAATGAAAATGTACATTTTATTTTTTTAGTGGGTTATTGAACTTAAATTGCTGATAATGATGCTGTTTTTGGAGTGGATTTTAGTAGTATTAGCAGCTGAGAAAGGTAAAGATCGTAAGTGGTGAAGTTATTATCAGTAATTATTGGAGCTTTGTCGAGTCTTAAAAAACAGCCCATATAAAAAATGTCATTCATTTTTGTTGTGATAATAAATTTAGCATAGTTTCCGGTTGATTTTTTGTACTGTGAAATGTCTGGGTTAGTTTTTTAGAATCTTTTGCTTACTTTGAAGAATGCTAACGTAGGGGATTTTATGTGGCAGGAAAAAGGAAATGGCAAGGAAGAAGAAGCGTGCCAACAGAAAAATTACAAAAGAGAAGCCTTCTGTTGTGGATAGTAATGAACAAGCATTCTTGAACTTTGTTGACCAAAATGCCAAGCAAAATTCTGAATGTAATGAAGTCGTTGACCAAAATGCTGGACAAAATTCTAGGTTTGATGAATTTAGTGTTGGTAAGTTCATTGAAATTGATTCCGGTTCAGAGTCTAGCTCATCGGCAGCATCTTCGAGCGGTAATGATGGATCATTCCATGTTGATAGTGGTGATGAACCAGCATTTGATGGGGAAGTGCAAAAATCAGTTAAAAAGCGCGGCCGACCTCCGAAGAAAGGGAAAGCGTTAAACAAAGCTGTGGGTGTGCAGGATAAGTCATCAAAGGTGTTGCGTTCTTCGAGTAGGAAAGGAAAACACACAGACATGCCACCACAGGGTCCTACATATAACAAGGAAGAATTGAAATCTTGCTTTGCAGTATGTCAGACAATTTCTATGGTTAATGGTTGTTTTTGCTTTGATTTTCTTATGTATAATAGAACTTTCCTCTTATTAAGTTTAGACTCTGGGCAATGTGTCAAAACTTATTGTTCTTTTGGTCTCTATTGTTGGTTTTGTCTTCAAGGTGATTAAGAAGATATTGGAAATGAATGAGGCCAAGTCTTTCAATTCTCCTGTGGATCCTGTTTCTCTGGGAATACATGTAAGTATGAATTGCTAGTGTAATGCATATGTTGGATGAATGTATACTCGTCACAGCTGGCGGGCTGGGGTACTGCTTGTGGCTCCAATTTCATGCGGAAGTGCGAGTGCTGGACGTGGTAGCACTGCATTGTGGGTACAGTGTATGTGTCCAGGTTGTCTATGGGTCAAGTATGGACCTGAAGGGACTACCTGATAAATAAAAAGAATCATTTCTCTTCTATGTGTCCAGTTATTACTTTGCATTAATCCTTATCTTAGTTTCGTGGATAATCACTGAAGTAATTTGCGACACCAGATATGCTGTTGAATGTTTCATTTTGGCCTTGAACTTGGAAGGGTGAGGAAAGATGGATGGTTTAGTGTTCCAATAGTGTTATTGTTTGCTAAATGAAACAATGCTTTTACCTAGGCTAGATGAAATTATGTGCTATTGTTTTGTGACCACAAGAAAAAAACAATGTTTTTGCAGTACCTTATGAATTGGCTGCTCATCTTAGAAAGCTTTGGGTCAAAAACTTTAGTTTGCTACTTTTGAGCACAATGAATTTGTTAGTGGATTTCTTTATGTCTTGTATATTTTCTCCTTTTCTTCAACTTTCTATAGAATGCGATGGAGCGTGAATGATGTTTCTCCTTGATCATGATTTAATTGTTGCAATATGGACATAATGGTGATTCATAAAAACGACTCATTACCTTTTAGGTATTGTCCACGTTCACGCTGTCATGACACTACACTGTATATTTTTTCATTTGCAAATGCCTATATACCATATGGACCTCTCTCTCTCTCTCTCTCTCTCTCTCTCTCTAATATTGGGGTGATTGTGACCAGGATTACTTTGATGTCGTTGATACACCAATGGATTTTGGAACCATATTTACAAATCTTCAAAATGGTGTCAAGTACCTAAATGCTGAGGATGTATACAAGGATGTTCAATACATTTGGCAGAATTGTCTCAAGTATAACAAGAAGGGTGACTATATCGTGTACCTTATGAAAAGAGTGAAGAAGAAGTTTATGAAATACTGGATGGCAGCTGGCCTGAAAAATGAAATACTGATGAAAACTAGTGGTACGAGTTTTAAGGTCCTCCATTGTTCTATATTGCTTCTTGTGATTTTCATCACTTTGCTTAATGTGGCTAGTGCACCTTTCATAGCAGTCCCTACTGCCTATAATGGATAAACAACCAATTAGGATTTAGCGTTTTCAGTTTTACATGAATCTTCCACAGTCAAGCAAGATCCCCCCTGGGTCCTCTCCCTGCATCTCTGCTGGCATATTAATATGGCTTTTCTTTTCTTATTGCAATCACTGAATACATTGATCTTGAAGATTTTCTTTTCATTATCAAGGCAGTGATTCTCAGCCATTATCATTTCTCTTTCCTAATAATATCAGTCACCACTATCATTTGATTTTGTTTTTGTAGGACATTCTCACTTTGTGCCTTCAAATGACCACGCTCTGAGGCTTAGTCAACGCGATGCTATGTCTGTGGTCAACCGTGTAGTGGGTGATCTCAACCAGATGCAACAGAATGATTTTGGTACCATGCATCCCCAGTCTCAGGTGCCCCTGCCAAGCTATAGCCAACCTTATCAGTCACATCCGCCTCAATCTCAGGTGCCCCTATCAGGCTACAGCCTGCCTTATCAGTCACATCAGCCTCAATCTCAGGTGCCCCTATCAAGCTATAGCCAGCCTTATCAGTTGCATCAGCCTGAACCAAGCACCATACGTCCACCACAGTTTTCACGGTTAGAGGTTGCCATAGATAGCAATTATGCAGGTATATGGAGCTTCAAAAACAAAATTAGATAATTGAAATATGCAAGTTTCATGCTGATGGCTGTTGTCTGTATCCATTCAAGACACTGAATTTTTATTGCAACTGTCTCTAACGTTGGTGTGTTCAGAAATTTTTATCATATCCTTTTCTGCACTTGCATCTGACATAATAATGCACTCATGCTTATTGAAGAAATTGTCTCCACCTATTGAGGTTATATTTTATTTAATTGTCGATTGATTTTAATTTTCTAGGAAATCATCACCTTTTTCCTTCTAATGATCACTCTAAGAGGGGTAGCAAGGGTGACACTATTTCTATGGTGAGCCACACAATCGGCAACCAGATGCGACCGGATAGTTTTAGCACCATTCAAGCACAGTCTCAGGTACCTCTATACAACCAGCCTTATCAGTCACATCAGCCTCAGCTGAGCACTACCCAACAACTTTTTTTCCAGTCACAGGCTGGCGCAGAAAGTAATTATGCAGGTACATAGCCCTGTAAAACAAAAACATACACAGGATAAATACAACTTTAATATGTATAGTAGGTCTTGTGGGCCCTATACTTCTATTGCTGCAGTTTCCTCCTTTGTTTTGTCTTGATGTGATTTCAAATTTCTAGTTGTGTCTAACACAATCACGCATGACTTCTTCTTAGGCATTTTTATAATATAGTAATTTTATTAGAAAGAAATGAAATCGGATTCATGAACCTTTTTCATTATCAAAGTATTTCTTTTTTAATTATTATTAATTTATTCATTTTGTAGGAAATTCTCACTTGGAGCTTTCCAATAATCCAAATGTGAGGTATAACAAATGTGATGCTATGTCTACAGGGAACCGTATTGTTGGTAACCATATGCAGCAGGATAATTTTGGCACCAGCCAGTCCCAGTCTCAGGTGCCTGTCCCAGGCTATAGGCATCCTTATCAGTCACATAAGCCTCAGCCTCAACCTCAGCCAAGCACCGACCGACCACCACAACTTTCCCAATCACAGGCTGGTGCAGATAGTAATTATGCAGGTACATTGTACCTAACAAAAGTAGATGCCAAATAGATGAAAGTTTTATGCCTTATGGCAGGTCTTGTTTGTGTTGCAGTTATTACAGAAGTAGATGCGGGATAGATGAATTTTTCATGCCTTATAGCCATTGCTAAGTTGTCCACCTTTACTTGAGCTAGAAATCAAATTTAGCTGGCAGTTGAACCTAAAAGAAGTTTCTTAAACTACCTTAATAGTTCTAATTGATTATTGATAGTTAGATACCATTAAACAGCAGAAAATAAATTGATATACATGTAGCATTTAAATTGATAATAAATATTGTCTAATTTTCAGTGCTTTTATTATGTGACTGAGAAATTCCCAAATCACAATTAACATGAAGGAATCCTTGGATGATTTTGAAAATTCGTAAAGCTTTTTTTTTTTTTTTTTTTTTTTCGTTCTCTTGAAATTTGACGAAGAGGATAGAATAAAATTTGACTTTGTGGCTATTCTTTTATTTGCAAATATTTTGTTTTTGTTTTTGTTTTACTCCCTCAAGCTTTAGGTCTTAGTTGGAATGATCCACATTACTATAATAACTTTTTCGTGTCTGTTCAATACTTTTGTGTTTTTGTTAATCTGCTACATTTTCTGAAATGTTTGCTGTGATCAGTTGATGGTTTGCATGTCACGTGACATCATTTCTCGTGATCTATTTCCACATAAGGGCTCTAATGCTACTTCTCGTCCTTTCTTGTTTCTGCAAAACATGAAGTGAAAATGTTCAAGGATAATCCATTAAGAGGAAGAAAGAGCTGAATGACATTGCTTGTTGGGTAGGTGAACATTTGAGTGATCATATTCAACCCTAACTGTTTCTTCTCATGTACCCTAGATTTATTTGAACTTGATGTTTGATATGATATGTTGTGACCTTTGTCGAGGCAACCCCATTCAAGATAAAACTTTAAAAATTATCCAAGAGAAATGATGGATTTGTTGTCAGATGGAAGGGCTTGGATCATAGCAAAGAGAACCATGTGGAAAAAGCCTTACAGATGGGGGATGGATTCAATAACTTTGCTGAGCTAAGCTTTGGCAGTGTTCACACTGTTATATTGAGTTAATTTAAGAAGGAAGAAGGTTATTGTGTCAGGCAATTTATAGGATGTGGATTTTGTCTTTGTCTAGATAGAATGGGATATAAGCAGAAACATTTTATTGGATGTGGGCAGGGCTCTTGAGGCTAGGTGCATTTGCCTTGGCACCTGCCTTCTGCCACTCTATCAGGGTAGGCGTTAGTTGTGGCTAAGGGATCATATATGGACAAACATCGGAGTGTTTGGATAACTGGAAGGATATTCACTGGATTGAAATGCTTCCAGTAATTTGAGTGATTAATTGTTCTCCAAGGAGGGAGATCTTGCTGTTTATTAAGGGATATGATGGTGTTGAAGAAATGCATATTCTATCTGTTGTGAAATTAGTAATGCAGGAAGTTTTGTCTGCTAGCCAAAGTTCAGGACAAGGGATGCTTGGTAGTTAGGTTAAGAGCCATGGAGTTAAAGTGCAAGTTCTACTCAATTTTATTGAATGTAACCTATTGATTTGTGAAAGATTTCTGTATCATTTGGAATCATACATGCAACATAAGAATCCTGTTTCTCATGTCCATGTATATTATTTTACCTCTATTCTTTTGCCATATTTCTTGTAGGACATTCAAACTTAGCTGCTCTTATGGGTCGCTCCACGAGGCAGAAAAAATATGCAACCAGGTGTTCTATGGTCTCCATGGTGAGCGGCCTTACCCATTCCAAGCAGGAACAACCACAACCAAGCTCATGTCATTTGTGGCAATCCCAGCAGAGCACCTCCCCACCGCATGCTGGTGTAGATATTGATAGTGCAGGTATGTCACGGATCAAATTTGTCATATATGCGGAGAAAGCTTCCTTTTACTTCAATTCCATCCATGGTATCCGTCCTTATCCTCTAGCAGTGTTTCAATCACGTGTGTGTCTTGACAATCTGGGTTGCCTCTACTATTTGTAGGACATCCGGTACTGCCTACTGTGGATTGTTCCATGGAGCCAAATAGATATGTGCGTAAGTGTCCAGTGGATCCAGTGGATAGTGTAATGGAGCACAATGGACATGTGCCTGGGTGTCTAGTGGACCCTGTGGTTGCCAACCACAGTAGTGAATTGCATGTCCAACAGCCCCCATCAAGCTGCAACCAACCAATTGTACCATATCAGCCCGAGTCAAGCACTGGGCAGCCCCAGCCACTGGCTAGTTTAGATATTTCTAGTGCCGGTATGCTGCTGTGAAGTTCATAATATTGTAAATGAAATACTTTTCATGATTCTGATACCAATACTGGACACTTTTCTGTTTAGTTTTGTCTAAATTGTTGTTTCAAGAAGATAAAACCAAACACGCATGTTCTATGTATTTCCAGAGTTTTTTTTTTTTTTTTTTTTTGGGGGGGGGGCGGGTTTGTGTCTCAGACACAAGTTCTTAAATCTTTAGTTTCCTTCTTTTGGTGTTTCCTCTGTACATTTCTCATGTACTAGGATTGCTTTCCTCCTCTTTTGACGTCTTTTAAATGACAACCTCTGTTCAGTTTGTGTTATGTCAAGAAAACTGTCTCACAGGAGCATAACTTAGGCTTTATATTTTCTTTTCTCCATATCTGTGTGGTAAATTTTTATGTAAATCTTACACACTATATATATTTCTTAGGCATCTTGTTTGTTGTGGTTTAGACATTTAACATTGCACTAATTGGTATTGCTCTTTTTTTTTTTTTTGTTCTTCTATGCAGTACTACCAAACTCTATCAGGAAGGGGAGAAGAAATACACAGAGGAGCTGTGAGGACCCGTGCACCAGAACTCCATTGGTTTCAAGCCATCACCTGCCTCTTCAGCCCTCAGGGAGTGACAGCCATTCAGACAGCCCAGAGCGGCCAACACAAAAGACAAAGAAGAGAACTCGAGTTAGAGGCCCCACTCTATGCCGTGACATGTGGGACACGCGTGATGGTGAAAGGATAGCAGTTCCCATCAACGCTCTAGGTCAGCCTGTTGGCCCTGAAGCATCTAAGCTAAGTACCTTCTTGGGAACTGTTGCACGGAATGGTGAGATGGCACCCCTTACTTTTGTGGACTGGTTTACAATGCCAGATGAAAAGAAGGAGAACATGTGGCAGTTTGTCCAGGTATTAATAAATAAAACTTGTTCTCAAGTGGCACATGGACAACGGTGGGAGTAGAAGTCCAATTTTTACTGACGAAAAGAAAAGAAAGAACTTTTTACTTACTTAAACATTCCTTTCTTGGTGTTCATTCATGATTATTTATTTATTTATATTTATTTTATGTGTTGCAGACAAAATTTGACATTGAGCCCATGTGCAAAACTTGGGTACTGAGATCCCTTGCATCAAAATGGAGGAATTGGAAAGCAAAATTGAAGTCTGACCATTATTACCCTCATAAAACTGACGAGGAGCGCCTGAATGATCGTGATAAAAGAGTCCTTCCAGAGCAATGGCAAATCCTCATATCCTATTGGAACTCTGAAGAGGCACAGGTATGTGCAAGAAATGATTGCAAGATCAATGTTATACTATTGATATGCTCTTAAATAAAAATTGGAAACGTGATACTTTTATGTGAAATTTGTAGTTGCGCAGCGCAAAAAATAAGGCCAACCGCTCGAATCAGAAGAGTACCCACACTGCAGGCTCAAAGAGTTTTGCAAGGATACGTGAGGAAGAGGTAACTTCTACTTTTGAAACTTGTAACTGCATGCATGGTGTGTATTTTGACATGCACTGTTGTCGTTTGAGGATAGAGGATAAAGAAGTCTGATGGGAAGGAGCCATCCAGGGCAGAGCTATACATAAAGACCCGCACTCGTAAGGATGGACAGCCTATGAATAATGTAGCAGCAGAAATAATTGTAGGTTTCAATGAACTCAACTATGCAAATCCTTTATCTTTTTTTTTTTAGCTTTATTTCTTTTTCCAGAATTTTGAAATACCAACAGTACAAGAAAATTTATGTGGGACAGAACTTGGTCTTGCTTTTTTCTGATGTAATGCAATAGCTTTCTAGGGATGTTGCTATCCATTATTCAGCGGTGTTAAGTGTTGCTT